TGGGGAAATCCCAAGTACCCAATGGGGGAAATGGGGAAAATCCTAAAAATCCAATGGGGGAAATCCTAAAAACAAAAGGGAGGAAATGGGGGAAATCCCAATAAAAAGGGGAAATCCCAAATCCTAATGGGGGAAATCCCAATCACCAATGGGGGAAATTGGGAAATCCTAAATACCCAATGGGGGAAATGGGGAAAATCCCAAAAACCCAATGGGGAAAATCCCAATAAGAATGGGGGAAATTGGGGAAATCCCAAAAACCCAGTGAGGAAAATGGGTGGAAATCCCAAAACACAAATGGGGGAAATGGGGAAAATCCCAAAAACCCAATGGGGGAAATGGCGGAAATCCTAAAAACAAAAGAGGGGAAATGTGGAAAATCCCAATAAAAAGGGGAAATCCCAAAAACCCAATGGGGAAATCCCAAAAACCCAATGGGGGAAATGGGGGAAATCCCAGAATGTCCCAAAATGTCCCAAATTTGGGGTTTTTTGGGTGCAAACCCCAAATGTCCCCACAGGGCGTGAGCCAGGTGCGCGCGTACCTGGGCAAAATGGGGGAAATCCCAAAAACCCAATGGGGAAATGGGGAAAATCCCAAAAACTCAATGGGGCAAAATGGGGGAAATCCCAAAACACCAATGGGGGAAATGGGAGAAATCCCAAAAACAAAAGGGGGGAAAAGGGGGAGATCCCAAAAACCCAATGGGGGAAATCCTAAAAAAGAATGGGGGAAATGGGGAAAATCCTAAAAACAAAAGGGGGGAAATGTAGAAAATCCTAAAAACAAAAGGGGGAAATGTGGAAAATCCCAATAAAAAAGGGGAAATCCAAAACACCAATGGGGGAAATCCCAAAACACCAATGGGGGAAATGTGGAAAATCCAAAATGTCCCCAAAATGTCCCAAATTTGGGGTTTTTTGGGTGCAAACCCCAAATGTCCCCGCAGGACGTGACCCAGGTGCGCGCGTACCTGGGGCAAAATGGGGGAAATCCAAAAACCCAATGGGGGAAATCCCAAAAACCCAAAGGGAGAAATCCCAAAAACCCAATGGGGAAATCCCAATAAAAAGGGGGAAATCCCAAAAACCCAATGGGGGAAATGGGGAAATCCTAAAAACCCAATGGGGGAAATCCCAAAAACATCAATGGGGGAAATGGGGAAATCCCAAAAAAAGGGGAGAAATGGAAAAATCCAAAGGGGAAATCCCAAAAACCCAATGGGGGAAATCCCAAAAACCCCAATGGGGCAAAATGGGGAAAATCCCAAAACACCAGTGGGGAAATGGGGGAAATCCCAAAAACAAAAAGGGGGAAATGGGGGAAATCCTAAAAACAAAAGGGGGAAAAGGGGGAGATCCCAAAAACCCAATGGGGGAAATGGCAGAAATCCTAAAAAGGCCAGTGGGGGAAATGGGGGAAATCACAAAACACCAATGGGGGAAATCCCAAAAACCCAATGGGGAAATGGGGGAAACCCCAAAACACCAATGGGGCAAAATGGCGGAAATCCTAAAACACCAATGGGGAAATGGGGGAAATCCCAAAAACCCAATGGGGAAATGGGGAAAATCCAAAAACTCAATGGGGCAAAATGGGGGAAATCCCAAAACACCAATGGGGGAAATGGGAGAAATCCCAAAAACAAAAGGGGGAAAAGGGGGAGATCCCAAAAACCCAATGGGGGAAATCCTAAAAAAGAATGGGGGAAATGGGGAAAATCCTAAAAACAAAAGGGGGGAAATGTGGAGAAATCCTAAAAACAAAAGGGGGGAAATGTGGAAAATCCCAATAAAAAGGGGGGAAATCCCAAAAACTCAATGGGGGAAATGGGGAAAATCCTAAAAGCAAAAAGGGGGAAATGGGGAAAATCCCAATAAAAATGGGGAAATCCCAAAAACCCAATGGGGGAAATGGGGGAAATCCCAAAAACCCAATGGGGGGAAATGGCAGAAATTCTAAAAAAGAATGGGGGAAATGGGGAAATCCTAAAAACCCAATGGGGGAAATCCAAATCCCAAAACACCAATGGGGGAAAAGGAGAAAACCCAAAAATTTAATGAGGGAAATCCAAAAAGCCAATGGGGGAAATGGGGAAATCCCAAAAATTTAATGGGGGAAATGGGGGAAATGGGGAAAATCCCAAAAACTAAATGGGGCAAAATGGGGGAAATCCCAAAAACCCAATGGGGGAAATGGGAGAAATCCCAAAAACAAAAGGGGGGAAAAGGGGGAGATCCCAAAAACCCAATGGGGGAAATCCTAAAAAAGAATGGGGGAAATGTGGAAAATCCTAAAAACAAAAGGGGGGAAATGTGGTAAATCCCAATAAAAAAGGGGAAATCCCAAAAACCCAATGGGGAAATGGGGGAAATCCCAAAATGTCCCAAATTTGGGGTTTTTTGGGTGCAAACCCCAAATGTCCCCTCAGGGTGTGACCCAGGTGCGCGCGTACCTGGGGCAAAATGGGGGAAATCCTAAAACACCAATGGGGAAAATGGGGGAAATCCCAAAAAAGCCAATGGGGAAATCCCAAAAACCCAATGGGGGAAATGGGGGAAATCCCAAAAAAAGGGGGAGAAATGGAAAAATCCAAAGGGGAAATCCCAAAAACAAAAGGGGGGAAATGGAGAAAATTCCAAAAACCCAATGGGGGAAATGGGGAAAATCCCAAAAAGTCAATGGGGAAATGGGGGAAAATCCCAAAAACTCAATGGGGCAAAATGGGGAAAATCCCAAAACACCAGTGGGGGGAAATGGGGGAAATCCCAAAACACCAATGGGGGAAATGGGAGAAATCCCAAAAACGAATGGGGGAAATGGGGGAAATCCTAAAAACCCAATGGGGGAAATGGGGGAAATCCCAAAAACCCAAGGGAGGAAATCCTAAAAAAGAATGGGGAAATGGGGGAAATCCTAAAAACAAAAGGGGGGAAATGGGGGAAATCCTAAAAACAAAAGGGGGAAAATGTGGTAAATCCCAAAACACCAATGGGGGAAATGGGGGAAATCCCAAAAACCCAATGGGGGAAATCCCAAAATGTCCCCAAATGTCCCAAATTTGGGGTTTTTTGGGGCAAACCCCAAATGTCCCCGCAGGGTGTGAGCCAGGTGCGCGCGTACCTGGGGCAAAATGGGGGAAATCCCAAAAACCCAATGGGGGAAATGGGGGAAATCCCAAAAACCCAATGGGGGAAATCCCAATAAAAAGGGGGAAATCCCAAAAACCCAATGGGGGAAATGGGGAAATCCCAAAACACCAATAGGGGAAATCCTAAAACACCAATGGGGGAAATGGGGGAAATCCTAAAAACCCAATGGGGGAAATCCCAAAAACATCAATGGGGGAAATGGGGAAATCCCAAAAAAAGGGGGAGAAATGGAAAAATCCAAAGGGGAAATCCCAAAAACCCAATGGGGAAATCCCAAAAACCCCAATGGGGGAAATGGGGAAATCCCAAAAACCCAGTGGGGAAATGGGGAAAATCCCAAAACACCAATGGGGGAAATGGCGGAAATCCTAAAAAGAATGGGGGAAATGGGGAGAAATCCCAAAAACCCAATGGGGGAAATGGCGGAAATCCTAAAAAAGAATGGGGAAAATGGGGAAATTCTAAAAACCCAATGGGGCAAAATGGGGGAAATCCTAAAAACAAAAGGGGGGAAATGTGGGGAATCCCAAAAATGAAAGGGGAAAATCCCAAAATGTCCCAAATTTGGGGTTTTTTGGGTGCAAACCCCAAATGTCCCCCCAGGGCGTGACCCAGGTGCGCGCGTACCTGCCCGACGCTCGCTGGTTCGACTTCCACACCGTGAGTTCCCTTCACGGAGTCATTAATTAGTAATTAATGCCTAATTCTTGTTTATTAATAATAATCCCTTAATAATTCCCTAATAATTTACCCAGTAATCCCTTAATAATTCCCTGATAATCCCTAAGTAATCCCCCAAATTAATCCCCAATAATCCCTTATTAATTCCCTAATAATTCCCTAATAATTCTCCAATAATCCCCCAATAATTCCCTAATAATTCCCTAATAATCCCCCAATTAATCCCCAATAATCCCCCAATAATTCTCCAATAAATCCCCAATTAATCCCCAATAATTTCCCAATAAATCCCCAATAATTCTCCAATAATCCCTTAATAATTCCCCATTAATTCCCCAATAACCCCCAATGATTCCCCAATAACTCCCCAATAATTCCCCAATAATCCCTTAATAATTCCCTAATAATTCCCCAATCATTCTCCAATAATTCCCCAACAATTCCCCTGTAATCCCTTAATAATCCCCCAATAATCCTCCAATAATTCCCCAATAATCCCCCAATAATCCTCCAATAATTCCCCAATAATCCCTTAATAATTCCCTAATAATCCCCAGATAATCCCCAATTAATCCCCAATAATTCCCAATAAATCCCCAATAATTCTCCAATAATCCCTAATAATTCCCCAATAATTCCCAATAATCTCTTAATAATTCCCCAATAATTCTCCAATAATCCCTTAATAATTCCCTAATAATTCCCCAATAATCCCCCAATAAATCCCCAATAAATCCCCAATAATTCCCCAATAATCCCTTAATAATTCCCTAATAAATCCCCAATAATCCCTTAATAAATCCCCAATAATTCTCCAATAAATCCCCAATAATCCCTTAATAATTCCCCAATAATCCGCCAATAACCCCTTAATAATTCCCCAATAATTCCCCAATAAATCCCTAATAATTTCCCAATAATCCCTTAATAATTCCCCATTAATTCCCGAATAATCCATTAATAAATCCCAATAATTCCCCAATAATCCCCTAATAATTCTCCAATAAATCCCCAATAAATCCCCAATAATTCCCCAATTATTCCCAATTAATCCCCTAATAATCCCCTAATAATTCCCCCATTTCGTGGCCGTTTCCCAGGATGAGGAGGTCGGGGTCCGGCGCCAGTTCCGGAACTTTCCGGCGCCTTTGGGTCACATCAACGTCCACATCCGGGGCGGCCTCGTCCTCCCCCAGCAGCTCCCGGCCAACAACACCAAGTTCAGGTGGGAATGGGGGAAATTTCATTGATTTGGGGCTTTTTGGGTCAAAAAATAGAAAAATAATCCCTTAATAATTCCCTAATAAATCCTTTAATAATCCCCCAATAAATCCCTTAATAATTCCCTAATAAATCCCAAATAATTATTCAATAATCCCCCAATAATTCTCCAATATTCCCTTAATAATTCCCTGATAAATCCCCAATAATTCTCCAATAATTTTCCAATAATTACTTATTAATCCCCAATAATACCTTAATAATTCTTTAATAATTCCCTAATAAATCTCCAATAATTCTCCACCAATTCCTTAATAATTTCCTAATAATTCTCCAATAAATCCCCAATAACCCCCAATAATCCCTTAATAATTCCCTTATAATTCCTAATAATTCCCTAATAATTCCCTAATAATCCCCAATAAATCCCCAATAAATCCTAATAATTCCTCAATAAATCTCCAATAATCCTTAATAATTTTTTAATAATTCCCTATTAATTCTCCAATAAATCCCCCAATAATCCCCAATAATCCCTTAATAATTCCCTAATAATTACCTATTAATTCCCTATAAATCCCCAATAAATCCCCATTAACTCCCCAATTAATCCCCTAATTAACCCCCAATAAACCCCCAATTAATCCCCAGTTTTCCCTAATAATCCCTTAATAATTCCCAATAACCCCCAATAATTCTCCATTAATTCCTTAATAATCCCCCCTTAAATCCCCAATAAATCCCCAATAAATCCCCAATAATTCCCCAATAAATCCTAATAACTCCTCAATAATTCTCCCATTATCCCTTAATATGTCCCTAATAATTCCCCAATAATTCTCTAATAATCCCTTAATAATTCCCTAATAATCCCCCAATAATCCCTTAATAAATCCCGCAATTAACCCCCAATCACTCCCTAATAACTCCCCAATAAACCCCCCAATTAATCCCCAATAAATTCCCCAATAATTCTCCAATAATTCCCTAATAATTCCCCATTAATTCCTCAATAATCCCCAATAAATCCCCTAATTAATCCCAATAACTCCCCAATAACAATCCCCCATTAATTCCCTAATAATCCCCCAATAATTTTCAAATAATTCCCCAATAATCCCCCAAAAAATCCCCAATTTTCCCCCAATAATCCCTTAATAATTCCCTAGTAATTCCCCAACACCCCCCAATAATTCTCCAATAATTCCTTAATAATCCCCCAATAATCCCTTAATAATCCCTTGATAATTCCCTAATAATCCCCAATAAATCTCCAATAATCCCCCAATAATTTTCCAATCATTCACCAATAACCTCCTAATAATCCCTTAATAATCCCCCAATAATTCTCCAATAATCCCTTAATAATTCCTAATAATTCCCCAATAATCCCTTAATAATTCCCTAATAACTCCCCAATAAATCCCCTAATTAATCCCCAATAACTCCCCAATAATAATCCCCCATTAATTCCCTAATAATCCCTCAATAACCTCCAATAATCCCTTAATAATTCCCTAATAATTCCCCAATAATTTTCCAATAATCCCTTAATAATTCCCTAATAATCCCCCAATAATCCCTTAATAATTCCCTAATAATTCCCTAATAATTCCCCTATAAATTCCCCAATAATCCCTTAATAATTCCCTAATAACCCCCTAATAATTCCCTAATAACTCCCCAATAATTCCCCCAATCACTCCCCACTTTTCCCCCAACATTCCCAATTTTGGGAATTTCCCAATTTCCCCATTTTTTGCCCCAAATTCCCAATTTTCCCTTTCCCAGCCGCCGGCAGCCGCTGCTCCTGACCGTGGCTCCCAACGACGCCCAGGAGGCCTCAGGGAGCCTCTACTGGGACGACGGCGTCGGCATCGGTCAGCCTCATTTGCATAATTCATTAACGCCTCATTAATTATTCATTTATTCGTTCATCCATTTTTTCGTTAATTCCATCATTAATTGGAATTTTGGGGGATTTTTTGGGGATGAAAATGAGGAATGAGGGGCGGGGTTCGTGAACAAATCGGACATGGAAATTTATGTTAATGAGATGTAAATCGCATGCAAATGAGGTGGGATGGAATATTCAAATTCTATGCAAATTTAGCGGGTTAAAGGAATGAAAGGAGGGGGTTATAATTGGCTGAGTTCGTTAATTCAAGCTGCTAAAAATAAATTAGTGAAAGGAAATTAATGTAATTAACATTTAAGAATTAAACTTTATTTTATTATAAATATAATTGATGAAATCTAATATAATTTTATTATATTAAAAGTATAATATAATACAATTAATAGAAATTAATATATTAAATATATTTACTAGATAATAAATATAATTAATTAATAAAATATAATTATTAAAATTTAAAATTATATTTTATATCATATTTTATAATTATTTAAAAAATTATATAATTGAATAATTATATGTAATGAAACATTACAGTATTACAATTAATAAATATACAAAATTATTATAATGCAAGATTTTAAAATTAACATAATTAAGGAAATTTTAAATTATATGTCATATAATACATTATTATTATTATTATTATTATTATTATTATTATTATTATTATTATTATTATTATTATTATTGTTGTTGTTGTTGTTGTTGTTGTTGTTGTTATTATTAAAAGTATTGTAAAATTGTATAATTATATCTAATCAAATATTACAGTATTCAAATTAATAAAATTTAAAAATTAATATAATGACTGGTTTTAAAATTAATATAATTAATAAAATTTAAAATTATATTTCATATCATATTTTATAAAAATTTAATCATAATCTAAAATTCAAACTGAAAATTTATTTTATTATATTTTTTTTAATTTTAATATCTGATCATTTAAATGTAAATAATAATTGAAACATCATTTTTAACTTAAGTCATTTAAACATTATTTTTAATTTTAATTTAATTTTAATTTTAATTTTAATTTTAATTTCTTTAATTTCCTGCCCTGCAGACACCTACGAGAAGGGCGAGTTCCTGCTGATGGAGTTCACTGCCCGCCCTGTGAGTCCAATTAACCCAAATTAATTAAAATGAACCAAAATTAATTCAAATTTCACCCAAGTTAATTAGCAATAATAATCAACATCTATTAATATAATTGTTGTTAAATATTAATAATTATTAATAAATTACTATTAATAAATAATGAAGCAATAATTTATTTATTTCTTTATTTTTATAAATATTAATAAATATTAATAATTATTACCAATATTATAGTAATATAATTATATACATATTAATAATATGTATTAATTAATATATATTAAATAACATTAATTTATATATATTTACATATTATTGATTAATATTAATATTATTAATAATATTATTGAAATAAATAAATAAATAAATAATTTATTACTTTACTTATTATTTATTGATCATTAAAAATATTAATAATTATTAACAATATTATATTGATATAATTTAATGTATATAAATAATATCTATTAATTAATATATATTGATTAATATTTTAATTAATATATTTGGTTAATAAAGAATTAATATTAATAGTCCTTAATAAATAATAATTATTAAGAATATTAATTAATATATTAATAATATATATTAAATATTATATTAATACAATTATTTATATTAATAAATAATTACTAATAAATAAATATTTATTACTTTACCTATTCATTTTTATTACGAACTATTTATTCATTTCTTTATTATTTTATTGATTCTTCCATTAATTATTTAATAGAATTATATCAGTTTTATATTAAAATTATATTCTATTATTAACCCATAGCAATATATTATTTTTACAATTTATAACACAATTTATCCTTTTATTAATTAAAAAAAATCAAATTTTGAATTTCTTTGTTCTGAATAATTTAATTTTTTTAATGAATTCAAATTAAATTTTTTAAATTTAATTTCTGAATTTAATTTTAATTTAATAGAATTTAATTAAAAACTAAAAAATAAATAATTTAATTTAAAAAAATAAAAAAAATAATTTTAAAAAATGAGATTTTTTTTGCCCATTTTTTACCAAAATCCCTGAATTTTTATAATTTTTTTCCAATTTTTTCCCTCAGAACCTTCTGGAACTCCGCGTCCTCCACGACGGCTACAAAGACCCAAATTCCCTGAAATTCACTGAAATCAAAATTTTGGGATTTTCCGGCGCCGTGGGGGCGGTGACGGTGACCAGCGGCTCCGCCCCCGTGCCCGGGGCGCCGAAAATCGAACACGACCCACAAAAAAAGGTGAATTTGGGGGATTTTGGGCAATTTGGGGGAAATTCATAAATGGAATTATTGGGAAATAATGGGAAAAAAAAGACCCAAATTTGGTAAAATTCAGCAAAATTCAAATTTTGGGGGTCACGTGACTCCGCCCCCATTTCCTGTTCGCCGGCCAATGTGCACGAGCCACAAAAAAAGGTGAATTTTGGGGATTTTGGGTAATTTGGGGGAAATTCATAAATGGAATTATTGGGAAATAATAGGAAAAAAAAAAGACCCAAATTTGCTGAAATTCACGGAAATTCAAATTTTGGCGGCCACGTGACTCCGCCCCCATTTTCTGTTCGCCGGCCAATGAGCACGAGCCACAAAAAAAGGTGAATTTCTGCAATTTTGGGCAATTTGGGAGAAATTCATAAATGGAATTATTGGGAAATAATGGGAAAAAAAAGACCCAAATTTGGTAAAATTCGGCAAAATTCAAATTTTGGGGGTCACGTGACTCCGCCCCCATTTTCTGTTAACTGGCCAATGAGCACGAGCCACAAAAAAAGGTGAATTTCTGGGGATTTTGGGCAATTTGGGGGAAATTCAGAAATGGAAATTAATAAATTATTATTGGGATATAATGTGAAATAAAGACATAATTACATAATTATATTTTAAAATATTATATTATGAGGATAGATTATGGTAATTTATTATTAGCACACAAGAATTATTATATTATATTGTGTTTTATTATATTATATTATATTATGCTATATTATATTATATTATATTATATTATATTATATTATATTATATTATATTATATTATATTATATTATATTATATTGTGTTATATTATATCATATTATATCATATCATATCATATCATATCATATTATATTATATTATATTATATTATATTATATTATATTATATTATATTATATATTGTGATATATGTAATATTATACTATATCATTATAGTAATATTAATAATAACAACATTATAAATATATATTATATAAATTATACCATTATATCTACAAGTAATTATAATAAAAAGTTAGATGCTATAATTATATTTATAATTACATAATTATCTGTATATCACATAATTGTGGAATATAATATAATATAATATAATATAATATAATATAATATAATATTATATTATATTATATTATATTATATTATATTATATTATATTATATTATATTATATTATATTATATTATATTATATTATATTATATATTTATATTATAATGCAATACAATGTAATATAATTACAATTTCATAATTATAGATACTTTCATATATACAATAATAAAACATATATTATATATTACAATTATATATTTAATGTATAATTGTAGAATTAGAAATATATTTTAATTACATTACCAAAAATTTTAATATAAATACTTATGTATACAACTATTATATTATATTATATTATATTATATTATATTATATTGCATATATTGTGATATATGCAATATTATACTATACCATTATAGTATAAATAAAAGTATTTATAATATATAATATATATTTAATATTATATATATTTAATATATATTAAAATATTTTAATATAAATTTTATATTTAATGCATCTTATATATAATATTTAATATATTTAATATATTTATAATATATTTATATCATAAATATATTTATAATATAAACACATAAAAGTATTTATAATATAAACTTAGATACTATATATGTATTTTTATGTAATTATCTGTATATAATATAATATAATACCATATAATATTACAATTGTATATATATTTATATTAAAATGTTTTCTAAACGAATTCTATATTTCTAATTATATTTTTTCTATAATTATTATTATATTATATTATATATTTCTAATTCTATAATTATACATTTAATATATAATTGTAATATATAATATATATTCTTTCATTGCATGTATTTATAATTATATATAATTATGTCATTGTAATTATATTATATTACATTATAATAGAAATATATAATATACATTATATGATATTATATTATTTTCTATTTAGTTTTATTTATTTATTTTCAGGTTTATTTTTCCCTTTCCTTTACATTTATTCTTTTATTTTATTTTATTTTTCTCTCCCCAAGGTGCTGAAGCTCTCCCAGCTGGAGCTGGAGCTGGGCAGGAATTACACCCTGAAATGGGGCTGAAAACCCCAAAATTGGGATTTTTTTCCACCTCCAGAAATGATTTCCTGAATTTAAATAATTCAATAAATTTAATTTCAATAATTATTGAATTGCCATTAAATTATTAATTAATACAGATATTTTATATATACTATTAAACATTATAACTATATTATGTAATATATGTTATATTAATAATATATAGTAGTTACATTTAATTATTATAATAATTTTAAATTTATTTTATTTCTTTAAATTTTAAAATAATTGTTATCATTATTTTAAATACATATCTAAATTTTGTCATTATAAATTAAAAAATTATTACATTAAGTTGTTTACCTAAATTACTTAAGGTAATTAATTTAAGTAATGTAATGTATTAATATATTATTAATATATTATTAATTATTTATAATTACATTAATTAACTAATTAATTAATTATAATTTAATTACCTATTAAATCATTATGTAATTATCTTTATTAATTAGGTGTGGCTCTTAGAAATTAAATTATAATTATGTCTTTGATACATTATTAGTAAATTAATTAGTATTAATTAAATTATTAATTTATTATTGAATTGATTGAGAGGGCCCTGGGCGGGGTGGGGGAGGGGTGGCCCCGCTGTCTCCTCCCGGCCCCGCCCCCCCAAATGACGTCATCAATAATCACTCAGGAGCCGTTCATTAATCCGTTAATTAACAGCACTTTATTCATAATTACAGGCCACGCCCCCTCCATGGGGTGGGGTCAAGGGGTCACCCAGGGGTCAAGGGGTCACTCAGGGGTCAAGGGGTCACTGGGGGGTCAGTTGGTCACTCAGGGGTCACTCAGGGGTCAGTTGGTCACTCGGTCACTCGAGTGGTCAGGTGGTCACTGGGTGGTCACTTGGTCACTCAGGGGTCACTGGGGTGGTCACTTGGTCACTCAGGGGTCACTTGGTCACTCCAGTGGTCACTCAGGGGTCAGTTGGTCACTCAGTTGGTCACTGGTTGGTCACTTGGTCACTCCAGTGGTCACTCAGAGGTCAGTTGGTCACTCGGGTCACTCAGGGTGGTCAATTGGTCACTTGAGTGGTCAGTTGGTCACTCGGTGACTCAGGGGCCACTTGGTCACTCGGTCAGTCAGGGGTCACTTGGTCACTGGGGTGGTCAGTTGGTCACTCAGGGGTCACTTGGTCACTCGGTCACTCGGGTCACTGGTTGGTCAGTTGGTCACTGAGGGGTCACTTGGTCACTCGGTCACTCCGGTCACTGGTTGGTCAGTTGGTCACTGAGGAGTCACTTGGTCACTGGGGTGGTCATTTGGTCACTCAGGGGTCACTCGGGTGGTCAGTTGGTCACTCAAGGGTCACTCAGGTGGTCAGTTGGTCACTGAGGGGTCAGTTGGTCACTTGAGGGGTCGGTCACTCAGGTGGTCAGGTGATCACTGGGGTGGTCCTTGGTCACTCAGGTCATTCAGAGGTCAGCTGGTCACTCAGGTCACTGGGGTGGTCACTTGGTCACTGAGGGGATCACTTGGTCACTCAGGGGTCACTGGGTGGTCAATTGGTCACTGGGATGGTCAGGGATGGTCACTGATGGTCACTGATGGTCAGGATGGGTCAGTGATGGTCAGTGAGTGGTCAGTGAGTGGTCAGTGGGTGCTCAGTCCCTTCTGGGGCTTGGTCAGTGTCACAGAGGGGTGGTCACTCAGTCGGTCACTCCATGGTCACTCAGTGGTCACTCAGTGGTCACGCAGTGGTCACTCAGTGGTCACTCAGTGGTCACTCAGTGGTCACGCAGTGGTCACTCTGTGGTCATTCAGTGGTCACTCAGTGGTCACTCTGTGGCCACTCTGCGGTCACTCAGCAGTCACTCAGCAGTCAGTCGGTCTCTCATTGGTCACTCAGTCGGTCACTCGGTCACTCTGTGGTCAGTGGTCACTCCGTGGTCACTCCGTGGTCACTCAGTCTCTCATTGGTCACTCTGTGGTCAGTGGTCACTCCATGGTCACTCAGTGGTCACTCAGTCTCTCAGTCGGTCTCTCAGTTGGTCACTCCATGGTCACTCTGTGGTCACTCTGTGGTCAGCGGTCACTCGGTCACTCTGTGGTCACTCTGTGGTCAGTGGTCACTCAGTCGGTCACTCTGTGGTCACTCTGTGGTCAGTGGTCACTCCATGGTCACTCAGTTGGTCACTCTGTGGTCAGCAGTCACTCAGTCTCTCAGTTGGTCACTCCATGGTCACTCAGTTGGTCACTCTGTGGTCAGCAGTCACTCAGTCTCTCAGTTGGTCACTCCATGGTCACTCAGTGGTCACTCTGTGGTCAGTGGTCACTCAGCGGTCACTCAGTCTCTCAGTCGGTCTCTCAGTCTCTCAGTTGGTCACTCGGTCACTCTGTGGTCACTCTGTGGTCAGTGGTCACTCTGCGGTCACTCAGTGGTCACTCAGTCTCTCAGTCGGTCACTCTGTGGTCACTCTGTGGTCAGTGGTCAGCGGTTACTCAGTGGTCACTCAGTCGGTCACTCAGTCTCTCATTGGTCACTCTGTGGTCAGTGGTCACTCTGTGGTCACTCTGTGGTCAGCGGTCACTCCGCGCTCACTCCGTGCCCACCCGGCGCTCCCTCCTCTCCGTGGGGGCAGCGCAGGCACCACTCCAGCGCGTTCCGGAACATTCTCAGCCAGGGCCCGGTGCCGGCCTTGCTGCGGCCGGAGGCGGCACGGCCGGGCCAGGGGCAGTGCCAGCCCCGCACTGACCGCTCGGGGTGCGGCATGGCCGCCAGGTGCCGGCCGCAGGGCGAGGCCAGCGCCGCCACGCCCCGGCCGGAGCCGTTGGGGTTCAGCGGGTACCGCTCGGTGGGGGCGCCGCGGTCATCGACGTAACGGAGAGCGGCCAGGCCCGACCGGACACAGCGGTCAAGGGCCGAGGGTGACCGGAACTGGAAACGGCCTGGAAAAACCAGTTAGAGACCAGTTAGAAACCAGTTAGAAACCAGTTAGAGACCAGTAATGGTCAGTGGTCACTCAATGGTCACTCAATGGTCATTGATAGAGAGCGGCCAGGCCCGACCGGACACAGCGGTCAAGGGCTGAGGGTGACCGGAACTGGAAACGGCCTGGAAACCAGTTAGAGACCAGTTATGGACCAGTAATGGTCAGTGGTCACTCAATGGTCATTGATAGAGAGCGGCCAGGCCCGACCGGACACAGCGGTCAAGGGCCGAGGGTGACCGGAACTGGAAACGGCCTGGGGAAACCAGTAAGGGTCAGTGGTCACTCAATGGTCATTGATAGAGAGTGGCCAGGCCAGACCGGACACAGCGGTCAAGGGCTGACGGTGACCGGAACTGGAAACGGCCTGGGGAAACCAGTAATGGACCAGTTAGAGACCAGTTATGGACCAGTTAGAGACCAGTTAGAAACCAGTTAGAAACCAGTTAGAAACCAGTTAGAGACCAGTAATGGACCAGTAACGGTCACTCAATGGTCATTGATAGAGAGCGGCCAGGCCGGACCGGACACAGCGGTCAAGGGCTGAGGGCGACCGGAACTGGAAACGGCCTGGAAACCAGTTAGAGACCAGTTAGAGACCAGTTAGAAACCAGTAATGGTCAGTGGTCACTCAATGGTCATTGATAGAGAGCGGCCAGGCCGGACCGGACACAGCGGTCAAGGGCTGAGGGTGACCGGAACTGGAAACGGCCTGGGGAAACCAGTTAGAAACCAGTTATGGACCAGTTAGAGACCAGTAATGGTCAGTGGTCACTCAATGGTCAGCAATGGAGAGTGGCCAGGACACCAAAGGGCCAAAGGCAGCCGGAACTGGAAACGGCCTGGGGAAACCAGTTAGGGACCAGTTAGAAACCAGTTAGAGACCAGTTATGGACCAGTAATGGTCACTCAGTGGTCATTGATAGAGAGCGGCCAGGCCTGACCGGACACAGCGGTCAAGGGCCGAGGGCGGCCGGAACTGGAAACGGCCTGGAAAAACCAGTAATGGACCAGTTATGGACCAGTAATGGTCAGTGGTCACTCAATGGTCACCAATGGAGAGTGGCCAGGACAGACTGGACACCAAAGGGCCAAAGGCGGCCGGAACTGGAAACGGCCTGGGGAAACCAGTTAGAAACCAGTTAGAGACCAGTTATGGACCAGTAATGGACCAGTAATGGTCAGTGGTCACTCAGTGGTCATTGATAGAGAGCGGCCAGGCCCGACCGGACACAGCGGTCAAGGGCCGAGGGAAAAACCAGTTAGAAACCAGTTAAACCAGTTAGAAACCAGTTAAGCCAGTTAGAAACCAGTTAAACCAGTTAGAGACCAGTTAAACCACTTGGAGACCAGTTAAACCAATTAGAAGCCAGTTAAACCAGTTAGAGACCAGTTAAAACAGTTGGAGACCAGTTAAACCAGTTACAGACCAGTTAAACCAGTTAGAGACCAGTTAAAACAGCTGGAGACCAGTTAAACCAGTTACTGACCACTTAAACCAGTTACAGACCAGTTAAATCAGTGGGAGACCAGTTAAATCAGTGGGAGACCAGTTAAACCAGTTACAGACCAGTTAAATCAGTTGGAGACCAGTTAGGGACCACTTAAACTGGTTGGAGACCAGTTAGAAACCAGTTAAACCAGTTAAACCAGTTAGAGACCAGTTAAACCAGTTAGGCACCAGTTAAACCAGCTGGGCACCAGTTAAACCAGTTACAGACCAGTTAACCCAGTTGGGGACCAGTTAACCCAGTTAGGGACCAGTTCCGGCCCAGTTCCACCAGTTAAACCAGTAACGCACCAGTGACACCAGTGAGAGCCCTGGGCTCCCAGTGCCTCCCAGTATAAACCAGTATAACCAGTGCCCCTCACCCCCAGTCCCTCCCAGTCCCTCCCATTGTTCCCAGTGCCTCCCAGTATAACCAGTATCACCAGTACCCCTCATCCCATGGCTCTCCCAGTCCCTCCCAGTCCCTCCCAGTATAACCAGTATAACCAGTATAACTCAGTTCTATCAGTTCCCCCATCGTTCCCATTGCTCCCAGTCCCTCCCAGTATAACCAGTATAACCAGTAACCCCAGTTTACCCTCTCCATGTGCCACCCAGACCCCGAGCCGCGCCCCCTCCATGCCCCAGTGTAACCAGTATAACCAGTATAACCAGTATAACCAGTTTACCCTCTCCATGTGCCACCCAGACCCCGAGCCGCGCCCCCTCCATGCCCCAGTCCCTCCCAGTATAACCAGTATAACCAGTATAACTCAGCTCTATCAGTTCCCCCATTGCTCCCATTGCTCCCATTGCTCCCAGTCTGTCCCAGTGCCCTCCCAGTCCCTCCCAGTCCCTCCCAGTATAACCAGTATCCCCAGTTTACCCTCTCCATGTGCCACCCAGACCCCGAGCCGCGCCCCCTCCATGCCCCAGTCCCTCCCAGTATAACCAGTATAACCAGTATAACTCAGCTCTATCAGTTCCCCCATTGTTCCCATTGCTCCCAGTCCCTCCCAGTGCCCTCCCAGTCCCTCCCAGTATAACCAGTATCCCCAGTTTACCCTCTCCATGCGCCACCCAGACCCCGAGCCGCGCCCCCTCCATGCCCCAGTCCCTCCCAGTATAACCAGTATAACCAGTATAACCAGTATAACTCAGCTCTATCAGTTCCCCCATTGTTCCCAGTCACTCCCATTGCTCCCAGTATAACCAGTATAACCAGTTTGCCCAGTTTACCTTCCCCGTGTGCCACCCAGACCCCGAGCCGCGCCCCCTCCATGCCCCAGTATAACCAGTATAACCAGTATAACCAGTATAACCAGTATAACCAGTTTACCTTCCCCATGTGCCACCCAGACCCCGAGCCGCGCCCCCTCCATGCCCCAGTGCCCTCCCAGTCCCTCCCAGTATAACCAGTATAACCAGTATAACTCAGCTCTATCCGTTCCCCCATTGTTCCCAGTCACTCCCATTGCTCCCAGTATAACCAGTATAACCAGTTTACCTTCCCCGTGTGCCACCCAGACCCCGAGCCGCGCCCCCTCCATGCCCCACTCCCTCCCAGTATAACCAGTATAACCAGTTTACCTTCCCCATGCGCCACCCAGACCCCGAGCCGTGCCCCCTCCATGCCCCAGTCCCTCCCAGTATAACCAGTATAACCAGTATAACAGCTCTAGCAGTTCCCCCAGTCTATCCCAGTATAACCAGTGTTCCCAGTCCCTCCCAGTATAACCAGTATTCCCAGTATCCCCAGTTTACCTTCCCCGTGTGCCACCCAGACCCCGAGCCGCGCCCCCTCCATGCCCCAGTCCCTCCCAGTATAACCAGTATAACAGCTCTAGCAGTTCCCCCAGTCTATCCCAGTATAACCAGTGTTCCCAGTCCCTCCCAGTATAACCAGTTTGCCCAGTTTACCCTCTCCGTGTGCCACCCAGACCCCGAGCCGTGCCCCCTCCATGCCCCAGTATAACCAGTATAACCAGTATCATCAATAACTCAGCTCTATCAGTTCCCCCATTGCTCCCATTGCTCCCAGTCTGTCCCAGTGCCCTCCCAGTCCCTCCCAGTCCCTCCCAGTATAACCAGTATTCCCAGTATACCCAGTTTACCCTCTCCGTGTGCCACCCAGACCCCGAGCCGCGCCCCCTCCATGCCCCAGTCCCTCCCAGTATAACCAGTATAACCAGTATTCCCAGTTTACCTTCCCCATGTGCCACCCAGACCCCGAGCCGCGCCCCCTCCATGCCCCAGTCCCTCCCAGTATAACCAGTATGCACAATAACTCAGCTCTATGAGTTCCCCCATTGTTCCCAGTCACTCCCATTGCTCCCAGTGCCCTCCCAGTCCCTCCCAGTCCCTCCCAGTATAACCAGTTTGCCCAGTTTACCTTCCCCGTGTGCCACCCAGACCCCGAGCCGCGCCCCCTCCATGCCGCGCAGCATCAGCGCCGGCCCCGGCTCCACGCTGACGGTGACGAAGCGCGACTCGAAGCGCCCCGAGAGGTTCCGCTCCAGGGCCACCGCGGGCACCGGGCCTGAGGAGGCCTCACCTGGCACTGGAAGGGTCACCAGTGTCACCCAAGGGTCACCAAGGGTCACCAAAGGGTCACCAGGGGGGTGGCAGTGAGGGGACATTGAGGGGACAGAAACCCCAAAGGGAAACCCCAAAGGGACAAAGTTGGGGACACTTGTGGGGACACCTTGGGGACATCCAGGGACACCTCAAGGCCTGTGGGAATGGCACCAGAGTGTCACCAAGGGGTCACCAGGGGGGTGGCAGCGAGGGGACAGCGAGAGGACATTGAGGGGACATTGACAGGACATCGAGGGGACACTTTGGGGGCAGCCCCAGGACAGAAACCCCAAAGGGAAACCCCAAAGGGACAAAGTTGGGGACACTTGTGGGGACACCCAGGGCCACCACAGGGACGGGGCCTGAGGAGGCCTCACCTGGCACTGGAGATGGCACCGAGGGTCACCAAGGGGTCACCAGTGTCACCAGAGTGTCACCAGTGTCACCAGGGCTTGGGGACATGGAGGGGACAGAAACCCCAAAGGGACAAAGTTGGGGACACTTCTGGGGACACCCAGGGCCACCCCCAGGCCTGAGGGGTGACACCTGTCATGGGAATGGCACCAAGGGTCACCAAGGGGTCACCAGGGGTCACCAAAGGGTAACCAAAGGGTCACCAGGGGGGTGGCAGTGAGGGGACATGGAGGGGACAAAAACCCCAAAGGGACAAAGTTGGGGACACTTCTGGGGACACCTTGGGGACATCCAGGGACACCACTGGGGCTGGGTCTGAGGGGTGTCACCTGTCATGGGAATGGCACCAAGGGTCACCAAGGGTCACCAAAGGGTCACCAGGCGGGTGGCATCAAGGGGACATTGAGGGGACATCAAGGGGACTTTGAGGGGACATCAAGGGGGCAGCCCCAGGACAGAAACACCAAAGGGAAACCCCAAAGGGACAAAGTTGGGGACACTTGTGGGGACACTTTGGGGACGGGGCCTGAGGAGGCCTCACCTGGCACTGGAGATGGCACCGAGGGTCACCAGAGTGTCACCAAGGGTCACCCAAGGGTCACCAGGGGTCACCAAAGGGTCACCAAAGGGTCACCAGGGGGGTGGCAGTGAGGGGACATGGAGGGGACAGAAACCCCAAAGGGAAACCCCAAAGGGACAAAGTTGGGGACACTTGTGGGGACACCTTGGGGACATCCAGGGACACCTCAAGGTTATATGGGAATGGCACCAGAGTGTCACCAATGGGTCACCAGGGGGTGGCAGCGAGGGGACATTGAGGGGACACTTTGGGGACGGCCCCGGGACAGAAACCCCAAAGGGACAAAGTTGGGGACAGTGAGGGGACACCGCAGGTGACACTGGGGTGACATTGGGGTGACATTGGGGTGACATTGGGGTGACCCAGGTGACACAGGTGACACAGGTGACATTGAGGTGACACTGAGGTGACATTGAGGTGTCCCTCACCTGTCCCCACCCAGCCCAGCAGCGCCATCAGCTGGCAGCCATTGCACACCCCAGGTGTGACACACACAGGTGACATTGGGGTGACACAGGTGACACAGGTGACACAGGGGTGGCACAGGTGACACAGGTGACACAGGTGACACAGGTGACACTGACCTGTCCCCACCCAGCCCAGCAGCGCCATCAGCTGGCAGCCGTTGCACACCCCAAGGCTGAACGTGTGACACACACAGGTGACATTGGGGTGACCCAGGTGACATTGGGGTGACATTGGGGTGACACAGGTGACACAGGTGACACAGGTGACCCTCACCTGTCCCCACCCAGCCCAGCAGCGCCATCAGCTGGCAGCCATTGCACACCCCAGGTGTGACACACACAGGTGACATTGGGGTGACACAGGTGACACAGGTGACACAGGGGTGGCACAGGTGACACAGGTGACACAGGTGACACAGGTGACACTGACCTGTCCCCACCCAGCCCAGCAGCGCCATCAGCTGGCAGCCGTTGCACACCCCAAGGCTGAACGTGTGACACACACAGGTGACATTGGGGTGACCCAGGTGACATTGGGGTGACATTGGGGTGACACAGGTGACACAGGTGACACAGGTGACCCTCACCTGTCCCCACCCAGCCCAGCAGCGCCATCAGCTGGCAGCCGTTGCACACCCCAAGGCTGAACGTGTGACACACACAGGTGACATTGGGGTGACACAGGGGTGACATTGGGGTGACATTGGGGTGACATTGGGGTGACACAGGTGACATTGAGGTGACACTGACCTGTCCCCACCCAGCCCAGCAGCGCCATCAGCTGGCAGCCGTTGCACACCCCAAGGCTGAACGTGTGACACACACAGGTGACATTGGGGTGACATTGGGGTGACATTGGGGTAACACAGGTGACATTGGGGTGACATTGAGGTGACATTGGGGTGACATTGAGGTGTCCCTCACCTGTCCCCACCCAGCCCAGCAGCGCCATCAGCTGGCAGCCATTGCACACCCCCAGGCTGAACGTGTGACACACACAGGTGACATTGGGGTGACACAGGGGTGACACAGGTGACACACACAGGTGACACAGGTGACACAGGTGACACACACAGGTGACACAGGTGACACAGGTGACATTGAGGTGACACTGACCTGTCCCCACCCAGCCCAGCAGCGCCATCAGCTGGCAGCCGTTGCACACCCCAAGGCTGAACGTGTGACACACACAGGTGACACAGGGGTGACATTGGGGTGACATTGGGGTGACACAGGTGACATTGGGGTGACACAGGTGACACAGGTGACACAGGTGACACACACAGGTGACACAGGTGACACACACAGGTGACACAGGTGACACAGGTGACACTGGGGTGACATTGAGGTGACACTGACCTGTCCCCACCCAGCCCAGCAGCGCCATCAGCTGGCAGCCATTGCACACCCCAAGGCTGAACGTGTGACACACACAGGTGACATTGGGGTGACACAGGTGACACAGGGGTGACATTGAGGTGACATTGGGGTGACACAGGTGTCCCTCACCTGTCCCCACCCAGCCCAGCAGCGCCATCAGCTGGCAGCCGTTGCACACCCCAGGTGTGACACACACAGGTGACATTGGGGTGACATTGGGGTGACACAGGTGACACAGGTGACATTGGGGTGACATTGGGGTGACACAGGTGACACAGGTGACATTGAGGTGACACTGACCTGTCCCCACCCAGCCCAGCAGCGCCATCAGCTGGCAGCCGTTGCACACCCCAAGGCTGAACGTGTGACACACACAGGTGACATTGGGGTGACCCAGGTGTGACACAGGTGACATTGGGGTGACACAGGTGACATTGGGGTGACACTGACCTGTCCCCACCCAGCCCAGCAGCGCCATCAGCTGGCAGCCGTTGCACACCCCAAGGCTGAACGTGTGACACACACATGTGACATTGGGGTGACACTGGGGTGACATTGGGGTGACACAGGTGACACAGGTGACACAGGTGACACTGACCTGTCCCCACCCAGCCCAGCAGCGCCATCAGCTGGCAGCCGTTGCACACCCCAAGGCTGAACGTGTGACACACACAGGTGACACAGGGGTGACATTGGGGTGACATTGGGGTGACACAGGTGACATTGGGGTGACACAGGTGACACAGGTGACACAGGTGACACACACAGGTGACACAGGTGACACACACAGGTGACACAGGTGACACAGGTGACACTGGGGTGACATTGAGGTGACACTGACCTGTCCCCACCCAGCCCAGCAGCGCCATCAGCTGGCAGCCATTGCACACCCCAAGGCTGAACGTGTGACACACACAGGTGACATTGGGGTGACACAGGTGACACAGGGGTGACATTGAGGTGACATTGGGGTGACACAGGTGTCCCTCACCTGTCCCCACCCAGCCCAGCAGCGCCATCAGCTGGCAGCCGTTGCACACCCCAGGTGTGACACACACAGGTGACATTGGGGTGACATTGGGGTGACACAGGTGACACAGGTGACATTGGGGTGACATTGGGGTGACACAGGTGACACAGGTGACATTGAGGTGACACTGACCTGTCCCCACCCAGCCCAGCAGCGCCATCAGCTGGCAGCCGTTGCACACCCCAAGGCTGAACGTGTGACACACACAGGTGACATTGGGGTGACCCAGGTGTGACACAGGTGACATTGGGGTGACACAGGTGACATTGGGGTGACACTGACCTGTCCCCACCCAGCCCAGCAGCGCCATCAGCTGGCAGCCGTTGCACACCCCAAGGCTGAACGTGTGACACACACATGTGACATTGGGGTGACACTGGGGTGACATTGGGGTGACACAGGTGACACAGGTGACACAGGTGACACTGACCTGTCCCCACCCAGCCCAGCAGCGCCATCAGCTGGCAGCCGTTGCACACCCCAAGGCTGAACGTGTCCGGCCGGGTCCGGAAGCGCTCGAGCTCCGAGCGAACTTTGGGGTTGAAGAGGATGGAGGCGGCCCAGCCTGGGGGTTTGGGGGGAAAAATGGGGAAATTGGGGAAAAATAAAATAAAATGGGGGGAAAAGTTGGGGGTGAAATAATGGGGAAATTGGGGGAAAAAATTTGGGGTGAATATGGGGAATAATGGGGGATAATGGGGGAAAATGGGGAAATAATGGGGGAAATAATGGGGGAAATTGGGGGAATAATGTGGGGAAAAATGAGGAAATTGAGAAAAAAATTGGGGGTGAATATGGGAAATAATGGGGGAAAAATGGGGGAATAATGGGGGGAAATAGGAAATTAATGGGGGAATAATGGGGGAATAATGGGGGGATAATGGGGGAAATTGGGGAATAATGGGGTGAAAATTGGGGGAAATTGGGAAAAATTTGGGATGAATATGGGGAATAATGGGGAAATAATGGGGGAATTGGGAAAAAATTGGGGAAAAAATTGGGGGTGAATATGGGGAATAATGGGGGGATAATGGGGGAAATAATAGGGGAAAAATGGGAAATTAATGGGGGAAAAGGGGAAATAATGGGAGAAATAATGGGAGAAATAATGGGGCAATTGGGGGAAAAATGGGGGAAAAATTGGGGGTGAATATGGGGAAAAAGGGGGGAAATTGGGGAAAAAATGGGGGTGAATATGGGGAATAATGGGGGAAATAATGGGGGGGAAATGGGGGAATAATGGGGAAAATTTGGGAAGAAAATTGTGGCTTAATATGGGGAATAATGGGGGAGAAAATTGGGGAAAATTAATGGGGGAATAATGGGGGAAATAATGGGGGGAATAGGGAAAAATTGGGGGAAAAATTGGGGGTGAATATGGGGAATAATGGGGGAATAACAGGGGAAAAATGGGAAATTAATGGGGGAATAATGGGGGAATAATGGGGGAATTATGGGAGAACAATGGGGGAATAATGGGGAAATTGGGAAAAAAATTGGGGGAAAAATTGGGGGGGAATAATGGGGGACATAATGGGGGAAATAATGGGGAAATTGGGGGAAAAATTGGGGGGGAATAATGGGGGGAAAATGGGGGAAATTGGGGAAAAAATTGGGGGTGAATATGAGGAATAATGGGGGGAAAATGGGGGAATAATAAGGGAAAAAATGGGGGAAATTGGGGAAAAAATTGTAGGAAAAATTGGGGGTGAATATGGGGAATTATGGGGGAACAATGGGGGAATAATAAGGGAAAAATGGGGGAAATTGGGGAAAAAATTGGGGGTGAATATGGGGGAATAATGGGGGAATAACAGGGGAAAAATGGGAAATTAAAGGGGGAATAATGGGGGGAAATTGGGGAAATTGGAAAAAAAATTGGGGAAAAAATTGGGGGTGAATATGGGGAATAATGGGGGAATAATGGGGGAAAAAGGGAAATAATGGGGGAATTAATGGGAAAATTAATGGGGGAATAATGGGGGGAAATGGGAAATTAATGGGGGAATAATGGGGGAAATAATGAAAAATAACAGAGGGAAAAATGGGCAAAAAATGGGGAAATTGAGAAAATTAATGGGGGAATAATGGGGAAATTGGGGAAATTAATGGGGGAAAAAGGGAAATAATGGGGGAAATAATGGGGAAATTAGTGGGGGAATAATGGGGGAAATAATGGAAAATAATAAAGGGAAAAAATGGGCAAAAAAATGGGGAAATTGGGAAAATTCTTTAGAGTTTTTTTCCTGTTTTTTGCAGAATTTTGGGGTTGAGGATTTTGGGGGCGATTTTTGGAGGATTTTGGGGGCATTTTTTTGAGGATTTTGGGGGAGGTTTTGGAGGATTTTGGGGGAATTTTGGAGGATTTTGGGGGAGATTTTTGGAGGATTTTGGGGGCGTTTTTTGAAGAATTTTGGAGGCATTTTTGGAGGATTTTGGGGGAGTTTTTTGGAGGATTTTGGGGGCGTTTTTGGAGGATTTTGGGGGCATTTTTGGAGGATTTTGGGGGCGATTTTGGAGGATTTTGGGGGAGTTTTTTGGAGGATTTGGGGGGAATTTTTTGGAGAATTTTGGGGGCGTTTTTGGAGGATTTTGGGGGAGTTTTTGGAGGATTTTGGGGGCGTTTTTTGGAGGATTTTGGGGGCGTTTTTGGAGGATTTTGGGGGAGTTTTTGGAGGATTTTGGGGGCGTTTTTTGGGGGAATTTTTGAGGATTTTGGGGGCGTTTTTGGAGGATTTTGGGGGCGTTTTTGGGGGAGGTTTTTGGAGGATTTTGGGGGAGTTTTTGGGATGATTTTTGGTGCGTTTTTGGAGGATTTTGGGGGCATTTTTGGAGGATTTTGGGGGCGTTTTTTGAGGATTTTGGGGGAGTTTTTGGAGGATTTTGGGGCAGTTTTTGGAGGATTTTGGGGGAGGTTTTTGGAGGATTTTGGGGGAGGTTTTTGGAGGATTTTGGGGAAAATTTTGAGGATTTTGGGGGAGTTTTTTGGGGCATTTTGGGTGCATTTTTGGGGGAGTTTTTTGAGGATTTTGCGGGAGTTTTTTGGAGGATTTTGGGGGCGTTTTTTGGAGGATTTTAGGGGGCGTTTTTGGAAGATTTTAGGGCCATTTTGGAGGATTTTGGGGGAGTTTTTTGGAGGATTTTGGGGGCGTTTTTGGAGGATTTTGGGGGAGTTTTTGGAGGAGTTTTTGGAGCATTTTTGGGGCGTTTTTGGAGGATTTTGGGGGCATTTTTGGACGATTTTGGGGGAGTTTTTGGAGGATTTTGGGGCATTTTTGGGGGCGTTTTTTGGAGGATTTTGGGGGAATTTTTGGAGGATTTTGGGGGCGTTTTTGGAGGATTTTGGGGGCGTTTTTGGAGGATTTTGGGGGCGTTTTTGAGGATTTTGGGGGAGTTTTTTGGAGGATTTTGGGGGCGTTTTTGGGGGAGTTTTTGGAGGATTTTGGGGGCGTTTTTGGGGGCATTTTTTGGGGGCGTTTTTGGAGGATTTTGGGGGAGTTTTTGGAGGATTTTGGGGGCGTTTTTGGGGGCGTTTTTTGGAGGATTTTGGGGGCGTTTTTGGAGGATTTTGGGGGCGATTTTGGGGGTTCCAGAGTCACCTTTGGCCGAGCCCAGGACGTCGGCGTAGCTGAAGCCCCCGACGAAAACGAGACCCCGGAATCCGTCCAGGGAGGCGGAGCCCGAGCAAAGGTCCTGGGTGGTGACGTCCCACACCTGGGAACCCCAAAAAACCCCAAAATCAACCCGAAAATCAACCCCAAAACCGAGGCTGGAGGCGCAGAAATGGGGATGAGCCCAAAAAAATTGGAATAAACGGGAAGAAAGGCGGCCGGAACAGGTCAAAAAATGGGGATTGGGCCATGAAATCCACCCCAAAAAATGCCCTAAAATCGATTAAATACAATCCCCCAAAAATGGGAATTATCCCATAAAATCCCCCCCAAAAAATCTCCCAAAATCCCATAAAAACAACCCCCAAAAATGGGAATTATCCCACAAAATCCCCCCCCAAAGTTGCATAAAAACAACCCCAAAAAAATGGGAATTATCCCATAAAATCTTCCCAAAAAATCCCCCCAAAATCCCATCCCAAAAATGGGAATTATCCCATAAAATCCTCCCAAAAAATCCCCCCAAAATCCCATCCCAAAAATGGGAATTATCCCATAAAATCCTCCCAAAAAATCCCCCCAAAATCCCATCCCAAAAATGGGAATTATCCCATAAAATCCGCCCCAAAAAAATCTCCCAAAATTGATTAAAAACTACCCCCAAAAATGGGAATTATCCCATAAAATCTCCCCACAAAATCCCATAAAAACAACCCCCAAAAATGGGAATTATCCCATAAAATCCCCCCCAAAAAATCTCCCCAAATCCCATCCCAGAAATGGGAATTACCCCATAAAATCCGCCCCAAAAAAATCTCCCAAAATTGATTAAAAACTACCCCCAAAAATGGGAATTATCCCATAAAATCTCCCCACAAAATCCCATAAAAATACCCCCCAAAAATGGGAATTACCCCATAAAATCCCCCCCAAAAAATCTCTCAAAATTTATTAAATACAACCCCCAAAAATGGGAATTATCCCACAAAATCCCTCCCCAAATCCCATTTTAAAAAACCCCAAAAATGGGAATTATCCCATAAAATCACCCCCAAAATCTCCCCAAATCCCATTTTAAAAAACCCCAAAAATGGGAATTATCCCACAAAATCCCCCCCAAAAATCCCCCCAAAATCCCCCCAAAAATCCCATAAAAACAACTCCCAAAAATGGGAATTATCCCTCAAAATCACCCCAAAAAATCTCCCAAAATCCCATAAAATCAACCCCAAAAATGGGAATTATCCCACAAAATCAACCCAAAAAATTTTGGGGTCCCCCAGGTGTTTTTGGGGTTTTTTTGGGGATGTTTTGGGGTCATTTTGGGATCTCCAAGTCCCCAGGTGTTTTTGGGGTGTTTTGGGGTGGTTTTGAGGTCCCCCAGGTGTTTTTGGGATGGTTTTGGGGTGTTTTGGGGTGGTTTTGGGGTATTTTGGGGTGGTTTTTGGGGTGGTTTTGGGTATTTTGGGGTGTTTTTGGGGTGGTTTTAGGGTGTTTTGGGGGTGGTTTTGGGGTATTTTTGGGGTGGTTTTTTTGGGGTGGTTTTGGGTGTTTTGGGGTGTTTTTTTTGGGATGGTTTTGGGTGTTTTTGGGGTGTTTTTGGGGTGGTTTTGGGGTGTTTTGGGGGATGTTTTCCGAGGTGTTTCTGGGATGTTTTTGGGGCGTTTTTTGGGGTGTTTTAGGGGTGGTTTTGGGGATGTTTTCCAAGGTGTTTTTGGGGTGGTTTGGGGTTGTTTTTGGGGTGTTTTAGGAGTGGTTTTTGGGGATGTTTTCCAGGGTGGTTTTGGGGTGGTTTTGGGCTGTTTTGGGGCTGGTTTTGGGGTGTTTTCTGAGGTGTTTTTGAGGTGTTTTTGGGGTGGTTTTTGGGCTGTTTTCGGGGATGTTTTCCGAGGTGTTTTCGGGTGTTTTTGGGGTGTTTTTTGGGATGTTTTCCGAGGTGTTTTGGGGTGGTTTTTGGGCTGTTTTTGGGTGTTTTTGGGCTCTTTTTGGGTTGTTTTAGGGCTGGTTTTGGGCTGGTTTTGGGCTGTTTTTGGGCTGTTTTGGGGGTGGGTTTTGGGCTGGTTTTGGGTGGTTTTTGGGGTGTTTTTGGGGTGGTTTTTGGGGATGTTTTCCGAGGTGTTTTGGGGTGGTTTTTGGGCTGTTTTTGGGCTGTTTCTGGGTTGTTTTGGGGGTGTTTTTGGGCTGGTTTTGGGCTGTTTTTGGGGATGTTTTCTGAGGTGTTTTTGGGTTGTTTTTTGGTTGTTTTTGGGGTGTTTTACGAGTGTTTTTGGGCTGGTTTTGGGCTGTTTTGGGGCTGGTTTTGGGCTGGTTTTGGGCCGTTTTGGGGGTGGGTTTTGGGTTGTTTTTGAGGATGTTTTCTGAGGTGTTTTTGGGCTGCTTTTGGGCTGTTTTTGGGTTGTTTTTGGGGTGTTTTACGAGTGTTTTTGGGCTGGTTTTGGGCTGTTTTTGGGTTGGTTTTGGGCTGTTTTTGGGCTGTTTTTGGGTTGGTTTTGGGCTGTTTTGGGGGTGGGTTTTGGGCTGGTTTTGGGCTGTTTTTGGGGTGTTTTTGGGATGTTTTTGGGATGTTTTTGGGCTGTTTTGGAGGTGGGTTTTGGGCTGGTTTTGGGCTGTTTTTGGGTTGTTTTTGGGGTGTTTTGGGGGTGGGTTTTGGGTTGTTTTTGGGGATGTTTTCTGAGGTGTTTTTGGGCTGTTTTTGGGCTGTTTTTGGGCTGTTTTGGGGGTGGGTTTTGGGCTGGTTTTGGGCTGTTTTTGGGCTGGTTTTGGGCTGGTTTTGGGTTGTTTTTGGGGTGTTTTTGGGGTGTTTTTGGTCTCACCTGGAAGCCGGCCATGGCAAAGGCCGCCGCCATCTCCCGGTCGCCGTTGCTGCCCTCCTCCCTCAGCACGGCCACGCGCGGCCCCGGCAGCTCTGGGGGAGCCCAAAAATCGGCACTGGCCCCGCCCAAAAACCCCCAAAATCCCGCAGAGCTCAAAGAACTCCAAACTCCCCAAGCAGTGCCAAAAAAACCCAGAAAAAAACCCAAAAAATGGCACAAAATCCCAGCAAAATCTGGCAAAAAACCCCAAAAATTTAAAAAGTAAAAAAATCCCATAAAAAGTTTTAAAAATCTCCCAGAAATCCAAGAGAAACCCCCCAAAAATCCCCCAAAATCCAAAAAAAAACCCCTCAAAAACTCCCAAAAATTGCCTCAAAATCCCCCAACAAAAAAAAAACCCACAACAAAATCCCCCAATGTCCCCACTGATCCCCAATGTCCCCAAAATGTCCCCAAAACGTCCCCAAAACCCCTCAATGTCCCCAAACCGTCCCCAAAATGTCCCCAAACCCCCACAATGTCCCCAATCCACTCAAAGTCCCCAATGACCCAAAATCCCCAAAATGTCCCCAATGTCCCCAAAGCCCCTCAATGTCCCCAATCCCCTCAATGTCACCAAAATGTCCCCAATGTCCCCAAAATGTCCCCAAACCCCCAAATCCCCAAAATGTCCCCAGTGTCCCCCAATCCCCTCAACATCACCAAAATGTCCCCAAAATCCCTAAAATGTCCCCAAATCCCCAATGTCCCAAATGTCCCCTAAACCCTCAAAATGTCCCCAATGTCCCCAAAGCCCCTCAATGTCACCAAAATGTCTCCAATGTCCCTAAAATCCCAAAAATGTCCCCAAACCCCCAATGACCCTAAATCCCCAAAATGTCCCCAAAATGTCCCCAGTGTCCCCCCAATGTCCTCTGGATGCCCCCATGTCCCAAATCCCCTCAATGTCACCAAAATGTCCCCAAAATCCCAAAAATGTCCCCAAACCCCCAATTCCCTCAATGCCCCAAATGACCCTAAATCCCCAAAATGTCCCCAATGTCCCCCCCAATGTCCCCTGGATGCCCCCATGTCCCCAAACCCCCAATGTCCCCAATCCACTCAAAGTCCCCAATGACCCAAAATGTCCCCAAACCCCTCAATCCTCCCAATGTCCCCCAATGTCCCCGAATGTCCCAAACCCCCAATGCCCCTAAATCCCCAAAATGTCCCCAAACCCCTCAATGTCCCCAACGCCCCCAATGTCCCCAACACCCCTGATATCCCCTCCATGTCCCTCAATGTCCCCAAATGTCCCCAATCCTGCCAATGTCCTCAATGTCCCCCGTGTCCCCAAATGTCCCCAAAATCCCCAAAATGTCCCCAAACCCCCGATTTCCTCAATGTCCCCAATGTCCCCAAAATGTCCCCAAAATGTCCCCAAATCCCTCAATCCTCCCAATGTCCCCGATCACCTCAATGTCCCCAACACCCGATATCCCCTCAATGTCCCCAGTGTCCCCAAACGTCCCCAATCCCGCCAATGTCCCTCAATGTCCCCAGTGTCCCCAACACCCCCAGTGCCCCTGATGTCCCCAGTGTCCCCAATGTCCCCAACACCCCTGATAACCCCTCAATGTCCCCAAATGTCCCCAATGTCCCCAAATGTCCCCAACACCCCCAGTGTCCCCAGTGTCCCCAGTGTCCCCAGTGTCCCCAACTGCCCCCAAATGCCCCCGATGTCCCCCAATGTCCCCAGTGTCCCCAATCCCGCCAATGTCCCTCAATGTCCCCAACGTCCCCAACACCCCCAGTGCCCCCAACTGCCCCCCGATGTCCCCCAATGTCCCCAATGTCCCTGACACCCCCAGTGTCCCCAATGTCCCCAATCCTGCCAATGTCCCCAAATGTCCCCAACACCCCCAGTGTCCCCAACTGCCCCCAAATGCCCCTGATGTCCCCGATGTCCCCCAATGTCCCCAATCCTGCCAATGTCCCTCAATGTCCCCAGTGTCCCCAACACCCCCAATATCCCCTCAATGTCCCCCAGTGTCCCCCAATGTCCCTCAATGTCCCCAGTGTCCCCAACTGCCCCCAAATGCCCCTGATGTCCCCCAATGTCCCCAATCCTGCCAATGTCCCTCAATGTCCCCGATGTCCCCAACACCCCTGATATCCCCTCAATGTCCCCAAACGTCCCCAAACGTCCCCAATCCCGCCAATGTCCCCAGTGCCCCCAACACCCCCAGTGCCCCTGATGTCCCCAGTGGTCCCCAACACCCCTGATAACCCCTCAATGTCCCCAAATGTCCCCAATGTCCCCAATCCCGCCAATGTCCCAAAACGTCCCCAAACGTCCCCAACACCCCCCCAGTGTCCCCAACTGCCCCCAAATGCCCCTGATGCCCCCAATGTCCCCCAGTGTCCCCCAATCCCCTCAATGTCCTTCAATGTCCCCAAATCTCCCCAACACCCCCAGTGCCCCTGATGTCCCCTCAATGTCCCCCAGTGTCCCTCAATGTCCCCAATCCCGCCAATGTCCCTCAATGTCCCCAGTGTCCCCAACACCCCTGATATCCCCTCAATGTCCCCAAATGTCCCCAATCCCGCCAATGTCCCTCAATGTCCCCAACGTCCCCAGTACCCCTGATATCCCCTCAATGTCCCCCAGTGTCCCCAGTCCCGCCAATGTCCCCAAATGTCCCCAACACCCCCAGTGTCCCCAACTGCCCCCAAATGCCCCTGATGTCCCCGATGTCCCCCAATGTCCCCAATCCCGCCAATGTCCCTCAATGTCCCCGATGTCCCCAACACCCCTGATATCCCCTCAATGTCCCCAAACGTCCCCAATCCCGCCAATGTCCCCAGTGTCCCCAACACCCCCAGTGCCCCTGATGTCCCCAGTGTCCCCAATGTCCCCAATCCTGCCAATGTCCCCAAATGTCCCCAACACCCCCAGTGTCCCCAACTGCCCCCAAATGCCCCTGATGTCCCCGATGTCCCCCAGTGTCCCCAATCCCCCCAATGTCCCTCAATGTCCCCAGTGTCCCCCGTGTCCCCACCCATGCTCCGCGCCACCGGTGCCACGTAGTCGGGGTCGAAGGTGACGCTGAATTCGGGTCCCCAGCGCGTGGCCAGGTCCTGCTCCTCCTGCTCCACGCAGGCCGGGGTCGCCTGCAGCCGCTCCAGCTGGAAACTCGTCTGCTCCCAAATGTCCCTGAGGTCCCCAACGGGCTGGGCCAGCACCTCCTGGCCACCCACGGCCACTGTCACCTGCGGGGAGGTTGGGGACATTGGGGACATTGGGATATGGGGCATTGGAATGGTGGCCCTGGGGTTTGGGGACACTGAGGGACATGGAGAACATTGAGGGACATTGGGGACAATTGGAGACATCTTGAAGGACACTGAGAACATTGAGGGACACTGAGGGACTTTGGACACATTGAGGACACTGGGGACACTGGGATTTAGGGACATTGGGGGGGACAGGGACTCGTCTGCTCCCAAATGTCCCTGAGGTCCCCAACGGGCTGGGCCAGCACCTCCTGGCCACCCACGGCCACTGTCACCTGCGGGGACAGCATTGGGGACATTGGGGACGTTGGGATATGGGGCATTGGAATGGTGGCACCGGGGTTTGGGGACACTGGGGACATGGAGAACATTGGGGGACATTGGAGACATCTTGAAGGACATTGGGGACACTGGGGACATTGGGATATGGGACATTGGAATGGTGGCACTTGGATTTGGGGACATTGAGATATGGGACCCTGAGGACCTGGAGGACATTGAGGGGACTGGGGACACTGGGGACACTGGGGACATTGGGGACATTGAGAACATTGAGACATTGGGGACAGTGGGGACATTGATGGACACTGGGATACAGGACATTGGAATGGTGGCACTGGGGTTTGGGGACACTGGGGACATGGAGAACATTTAGGGACATTGAGGACATTGGAGACATCTTGAAGGACATTGAGGACATTGAGGGACTTTGGACACATTGAGGACACTGGGGACACTGGGGACACTGGAATGGTGGCACTGGGGTTTGGGGACACTGGGGACACGGAGAACATTGAGGGACATTGGGGACATCTTGAAGGACATTGAGGGACACTGGGGACATTGAGATATGGGACACTAGAACAGTGACATTGGGGTTTGGGGACACTGGGGACACTGGGGACATCGAGATATGGGACATTGGGATGGTGGCGTTTGGGTTTGGTGACATTGGGGACATCAGGATACAGAGCAGTGAGAGGATTGAGAACATTGAGGGACATTGGGGACACTGGTGACATTGAGGGGGTTTGGGGACATTGGGGACAGTGGGGACATTGAGATATGGGACATTGGAATGGTGGCTCTAGGAAATGGGGACACTGAGGACACTGAGGACATTGGGGACACTGAGGGACAGTGGGGACATTGGGGACACAGAGACACGGTGACACAGGGAGAGGGGACACAGCCACTGTCACCTGCTGAGGGACACTTGAGGACATTGGGGACAATGAGGGACAATGGGGACACCAACACCGCAAAGCCACCACCGCCCACCCAAAGGGACAGAGCCACCTCCTGTCCCTTGTCCCCAACGCCCCCACAACGTCCCTGATCCCCCCAATGTCGCCAGTGTCCCCCAGTGTCCCCCAATGTCCCCAGTGTCCCTAAACCCCCGGTCCCCCCAGTGTCCCCAGTGTCCCCCAGTGTCCCCAATGTCCCTAAACCTCTGATCCCCCCAATGTCTCCAATGTCCCCAACGTCCCCAATTGCCCCCGATGTCCCCATTGTCCTTGATGTCCCCAATGTCGCCAAATCCCGTCAATGTCCCCAATGTCCCTGATGTCCCCAAACCCCAAATGTCCCCAATTGGCCCCGATCTTCCCATTGTCCCTGATGTCCCTGATGTCCCCAAACCCCAAATGTCACCCATCCCCGATGTCCCCAATTGCCCCCGATGTCCCCATTGTCCCTGATATCCCCAAATGTCCCCAACGCCCCCAATGTCCCCAAATCCCAAATGTCCCCCATCCTCAATGTCCCCACTGTCCCCAAAGTCCCCAATGTCCCCAATTTCCCCCAGTGTCCCCAATTTCCCCCAGTGTCCCCAGTGTCCCTGATGTCCCCAAACCCCAAATGTTGCTGTCCCCAATTTCCCCCAGTGTCCCCAATGTCCCCAATGTCCCCACTGTTCCCAAAGTCCCTGATGTCCTCAAATGTTCCCATTGTCCCTGATGTCTCCAACCTCCAAATGTCCCCAGTGTCCCCAACGCCACCAATGTCCCCAATTTCCCCCAGCGTCCCCACTGTCCCCAAACCCCAAATGTCCCCAATGTCCCCAAACCCCAAATGTCGCCTGTCCCCAACGTCCCCAATGTCCCCCAATGTCCCCAACGCTCCCAATGTCGCCCATCCCCAAATGTTCCCATTGTCCCAAATGTCCCCAAACCCCAAATGTCCCCCGTCCTCAAATGTCCCCATTGTCCCCAATGTCCCCAACGCCCCCAAACCCCAAATGTCAATGTCCCCATTGTCCCTGATGTCCTCAAACCCCAAATTTTGCCTGTCCCCAACGCCCCCAGTGTCCCCAATTTTCCCCAGTGTCCCCATTGTCCCTGATGTCCTCAAATGTCCTCATTGTCCCTGATGCCCCCAACGCCCCAAATGTCCCCAAACCCCAAACTTTGCCTGTCCTCAATGTCCCCACTGTCCCCAAAGTCCCTGATGTCCTCAAATATTCCCATTGTCCCAACTGTCCCCAACGCCCTCAATGTCACCAATTTCCCCCAGTGTCCCCACTGCCCCCAAATGTCCCCAATGTCCCCAATGCCCCCAAACCCCAAATGTCCCCAATGTCCCCAATTTCCCCCAGTGTCCCTGATGTCCCGAAACCCCCAAATGTCCCCAATGTCCCTGATGTCTCCAACCTCCAAATGTCCCCACTGTCCCCAACGTCCCCAATTGTCCCCAGTTTCCCCCAGTGTCCCCATTGTCCCTGATGTCCCCAAACCCCAAATGTCCCCCGTCCCCAAAGTCCCTGATGTCTCCAACCTCCAAATGTCCCCAATGTCCCCAATGTCCCCAAACCCCAAATGTCAATGTCCCCATTGTCCCTGATGTCCCCAAACCCCAAATTTTGCCTGTCCCCAACTCCCCCAACGTCCCCAATTTCCCCCAGTGTCCCCAAAGTCCCTGATGTCCTCAAATGTTCCCATTGTCCCCGATGTCTCCAACCTCCCAGTGTCCCCAGTGTCCCTGATGTCCCCAGACCCCAAATGTCAATGTCCACAATGTCCCAAATCTCCCCATTGTTCCCGATGTCCCCAATGTCCCCAAACCCCAAATGTCACCCATCCCCAATGTCCCAAATGTCCCCAAATCCCAAATTTTGCCTGTCCCCAACGCCCCCAGTGTCCCCAACGCCCCCAGTATCCCCAACGCCCCCAGTGTCCCCATTGTCCCTGATGTCCCCAAACACCAAACTTTGCCTGTCCTCAAATGTTCCCATTGTCCCTACTGTCCCCAACGCCCTCAATGTCACCAATTTCCCCCAGTGTCCCCAATGTCCCCAATGCCCCAATTTCCCCCAGTGTCCCCAATGTCCCTGATGTCCCGAAAGCCCAAATGTCAATGTCCACAATGTCCCAAATGTCCCCATTGTCCCCGATGTCTCCAACCTCCAAATGTCCCCAACGTCCCCAAATGTTCCCATTGTCCCTAATGTCCCCAACACCCCAAATGTCCTCAATATCCCCAGTGTCCCCGCTGTCCCCTCACCATGGCGCGGGGTCCGTAGGGGCCGCTGTGGCCGATGGGGACACAGGTGACACCGGCGTCCTGGTAGCGGCGGCACACGGGGACAGCGGCGGCCGCCGGCACCTCCAGCACCAGCCCCGGCTCCTCGGCAAAGAGCAGCGCCAGCGCTGGGGACACATGGGGACATTGAGGGGACATTGAGGGGACATTGGGGGCACTGGGGGGGTTGGGGACACACGGGGACATTCAGGGGACAGTGGGGACATGGGGGTTGGGGACATGGGGACATTGAGGGGACACTGGGGAGATTGGGGGCAGTGGGGACACTGGGGACACTGGGGGCGTTGGGGATGTTGGGGGACTTTGGGGACATTGGTGACACATTGGGGACAGTGGGGGGGTTGGGGACATTGCCGACCTCAAGGACCAGCCCTGGTTCCTTGGCATAGAGCAGGGACAGCGCTGGGGACACACGGGGACATTGAGGGGACACTGGGGACACTGGGGGGGTTGGGGACACTGGGGACATCAGGGGGCATTGGGGACATTGTGGGACATTGGTGGCATTGAGGGGACAGTGGGGAGATTGGGGGGCACTGGGGACATTGGCAACACATTGGGGACATTGGGGGGTTGGTGACACTGAGGGGACATTGGGGACATTGGGACGCATTGGGGACAGTGGGGGGACATTGAGGGGATATTGGTGATGCATTGGGGACACTGGGGACACATTGGGGACAGTAGGGGGATTGGTGAAACATTGGGGACAGTGGGGACATTGAGGGGACACTGGGGGATTGGCGACATTGAGGGGACATTGGTGACATTGAGGGGACACTGGGGGGATTGGGGGGCATTGGGGACACTGGGGACAGTGAGGGGATCAGTGACACCTTATGGACATTGGTGACGCATTGGGACATTGGGGACATTGAGGGGACATTGAGGAGAGTGGGGGAATTGGTGACACATTGGGGACATTGGCAACATTGAGGGGACATTGCGGGACTGGGGACATTAAGGGGACATTAAGGGGACAGTGGGGGACTGGGGACATTGAGGGGGCATTGGCAACACATTGGGGACACATTGGGGACACATTGGGGACATCGGGGGATTGGTGACATTGAGGGGACACTGGGGACATTGGGGATGCATTGGGGACACTGGGGACACTGGGGACAGTGAGGGGATTGGTGACAAATTAGGGACACATTGGGGACAGTGAGGGGATTGGGGGGGGATTGGTGACGCATTGGGGACATTGAGGGGACACTGGGGACAGTGGGGGGATTGGGGACACATTGGGGACACATTGGGGACACAATGGGGACATTGAGGGGAATGGGGACACATTGGGGACATTGAGGGGACATTGAGGGGACATTGGGGACGCTGGGGACATTGAGGGGACTGGGGACACATTAGGGACATTGGGGACACTGAGGGGACACTGGGGACAGTGAGGGGATTGGTGACACATTAGGGACATTGAGGGGACATTGCGGGACTGGGGGCATTGGGGACACATTGGGGGCACATTGGGGACACTGGGGGATTGGTGACACATTGGGGGGATTGGTGACATCCAGTGACACACTGGTGATACATTGGTGATACATTGGGGACATCGGTGACACATTAGGGACACACTGGGGACACACTGGTGACACATCGGTGACACATTGGGGACACACTGGTGACACAGGGGGGGTGGCAGCTGTCACTGACGGGTGACGCCGGGTGGCGGCGCGGGGACGCTGACGGTGGCGCCGCAGTTGCCAGCGAAGGCCATCTCCAGCACGCAGCCCAGCAGGCCCCCGTCACTGACGTCATGGCCGGCCAGCAGCGCGCGCTCTGGGGACACACGGACAGGCCACCAGGGGTCACCAAGGGGACCGGAAATGTCACCAAGGGTCACCAAGGGGGCGGGAAATGCCACCAAGGGTCACCCCGGGGGCGGGAAATGCCACCCCAGGTCAGCCAAATGTCACCCAAGGTGAGGAAATGTCACCCCAGAGTCATCAAATGTCACCTCAGGTCACCCAAGGTCAGCAAATGTCACGTCAGGGTCACCAAATGTCACCACGGGGCCACCCAATGTCACCTCAGGTCAGGAAATGTCACCCAAGGTCATGAAACGTCACGTCGGGGTCACCATACGTCACCTTAGGGTCATCAAGTGTCACCTTGGGTCAGGAAATGTCACCTCAGAGTCACCAAGGGTCACCTTGGGGTCACCAAATGCCACCCCAGGTCTGGGGACACACACGGACAGGCCACCACGGGTCACCAAGGGGGCGGGAAATGTCACCAAAGGGTCACCCCCGGGGGCGGGAAATGTCACCCAAGGTCTGGGGACACACACGGACAGGCCACCAAGGGTCACTGAGGGGGCGGGAAATGCCACCAAGGGTCAGGAAATGTCACCCAGGGTCACCCCGGGGGCGGGAAATGCCACCCCAGGTCAGCCAAATGTCACCCAAGGTGAGGAAATGTCACCCAGGGCCACCGAATGTCACCCAAGGTCATGAAACATCACGTGGGGGTCACCAAGTGTCACTTTGGGTCAGGAAATGTCACCTCAGAGTCACCAAGTGTCACCTTGGGGTCACCAAATGCCACCCCAGGTCTGGGGACACACACACAGAGGCCACCAAGGGTCACCTCGGGGTCACCGAGTGTCACCTTGGGGTCATCAAATGTCACCTCAGGGCCACCAAACATCACGTCGGGGTCTCCATAGGTCACATTAGGGTCACCAAGTGTCACCTTAGGGTCACCCAAAGTCACCTTGGGGTCATCAAATGTCACCTCAGGGCCAGCCAGGGTCACCCAAAGTCACTTTGGGGCCACCAAACATCACCTCAGAGTCATCAAATGTTGCCTCAGGTCACCCAAGGTCAGGAAATGTCACCCCAGGTCTGGGGACACAGATGCCACCAAGGGTCACCTCGGGGGAGGGAAATGCCACCTCAGGGCCACCAAATGTCACCCAGGGCCACTGAATGTCACCCAAGGTCATGAAACGTCACGTCGGGGTCACCAAGTGTCACCTTAGGGTCAGGAAATGCCACCCCAGGTCTGGGGACACACACGGAGAGGCCACCCAGGGTCACCTTGGGGGCGGGAAATGCCACCAAGGGTCAGCCAAATGTCACCCAGGGTCACCCCGGGGGCGGGAAATGCCACCCAAGGTCAGGAAATGTCACCCCAGGTCTGGGGACACACATGGAGAGGCCACCCAGGGTCACCTCGGGGGCGGGAAATGCCACCAGAGGTCAGGAAATGTCACCTCAGGGCCACCAAACATCATGGCGGGGTCATCAAATGTCACCTTAGGGCCACCAAATGTCACCTCAGGTCACCCAAGGTCAGCAAATGTCACGTTGGGGTCACCAAATGTCACCCAGGGCCACCAAACATCACGTCGGGGTCACCATAGGTCACCTTGGGGTCACCAAATGCCACCCCAGGTCTGGGGACACAGATGCCACCAAGGGTCACCCCGGGGGCGGGAAATGCCACCCAAGGTCTGGGGACACACACGGACAGATGCCACCAGGGGTCACCAAGGGGACCGGAAATGTCACCAAGGGTCAGCCAAATGTCACCCAAGGTGAGGAAATGTCACCCAAGGTCATGAAACATCACGTCGGGGTCACCAAGTGTCACTTTGGGTCAGGAAATGTCACCTTGGGGTCAGCTGGGGTCACCCAAAGTCACCTTGGGGTCATCAAATGTCACCTCAGGGCCAGCCAGGGTCAGCAAATGTCACCCAGGGCCACCAAACATCATGGCGGGGTCACCAAACGTCACCTCAGGTCACCCAAGGTCATTGAATGTCACCTTGGGGTCACCAAGTGTCACCCAAGGTCATGAAACGTCACGTCGGGGTCACCATATGTCACATTAGGGTCATCAAATGTCACCTTAGGGTCAGGAAATGCCACCCCAGGTCTGGGGACACACATGGAGATGCCACCAAGGGTCACCAAGGGGGCGGGAAATGCCACCAAGGGTCAGCCAAATGTCACCCAGTGTCACCCCGGGGGCGGGAAATGCCACCAAGGGGGCGGGAAATGTCACCCAAGGGGGCGGGAAATGTCACCCCAGGTCAGCCAAATGTCACCCAAGGTGAGGAAATGTCAGCCAGGGCCACCAAATGTCACCCAAGGTCATGAAACATCACATCAGGGTCACCATATGTCACATTAGGGTCACCAAGTGTCACTTTGGGTCAGGAAATGTCACCTTGGGGTCAGCTGGGGTCACCCAAAGTCACCTTGGGGTCATCAAATGTCACCTCAGGGCCAGCCAGGGTCAGCAAATGTCACCCAGGGCCACCAAACATCATGGCGGGGTCACCAAACGTCACCTTGGGGTCATCAAACGTCACCTCAGGTCACCCAAGGTCATTGAATGTCACCTTGGGGTCACCAAATGTCACCCAAGGTCATGAAACGTCACGTCGGGGTCACCATATGTCACATTAGGGTCATCAAATGTCACCTTGGGTCAGGAAATGCCACCCCAGGTCTGGGGATACACACGGAGAGGCCACCAAGCGTCACCTCGGGGGTGGGAAATGTCACCAAGGGTCACCAAGGGGGTGGGAAATGTCACCCAAGGGTCACCAAGGGGGCAGGAAATGTCACCCGAGGTCAGGAAATGTCACCTCAGGGTCACCAAACATCACGTCGGGGTCTCCATAGGTCACATTAGGGTCACCAAGTGTCACCTTAGGGTCACCCAAAGTCATCTTGGGGCCATCAAATGTCACCTCAGGGCCAGCCAGGGTCACCCAAAGTCACTTTGGGGCCACCAAACATCACCTCAGAGTCATCAAATGTTGCCTCAGGTCACCCAAGGTCAGGAGATGTCACCTCAGGGCTACCAAATGTCACCCAAGGTCATGAAACGTCATGGCGGGGTCACCATAGGTCACCTTGGGGTCACCAAAGGTTACCCCAGGTCTGGGGATACAGATGGAGATGCCACCAAGGGTCACCAAGGGGGCGGGAAATGCCACCAAGGGTCAGCCAAATGTCACCCAGGGTCACCCCGGGGGTGGGAAATGCCACCAAGGGGGCGGGAAATGTCACCCAAGGGGGCGGGAAATGTCACCCCAGGTCAGCCAAATGTCACCCAAGGTGAGGAAATGTCAGCCAGGGCCACCAAATGTCACCCAAGGTCATGAAACATCACATCGGGGTCACCATAGGTCACATTAGGGTCACCAAGTGTCACTTTGGGTCAGGAAATGTCACCTTGGGGTCAGCTGGGGTCACCCAAAGTCACCTTGGGGTCATCAAATGTCACCTCAGGGCCAGCCAGGGTCATCAAATGTCACCCAGGGCCACCAAACATCATGGCGGGGTCACCAAACGTCACCTCAGGTCACCCAAGGTCATTGAATGTCACCTTGGGGTCACCAAATGTCACCCAAGGTCATGAAAGGTCACGTCGGGGTCACCATATGTCACATTAGGGTCATCAAATGTCACCTTGGGTCAGGAAATGCCACCCCAGGTCTGGGGATACACACGGAGATGCCACCAAGGGTCACCTCGGGGGTGGGAAATGTCACCAAGGGTCACCAAGGGGGCGGGAAATGTCACCCAAGGTCAGGAAATGTCACCTCAGAGTCATCAAATGTCACCTCAGGTCACCCAAGGTCAGCAAATGTCACGTTGGGGTCACCAAACGTCACCCAGGGCCACCAAACATCACGTCGGGGTCACCATAGGTCACCTTGGGGTCACCAAATGTCACCCCAGAGTCATCAAGTGTCACCTTAGGGTCAGGAAATGCCACCCCAGGTCTGGGGACACACATGGACAGGCCACCACGGGTCACCAAGGGGGCGGGAAATGTCACCAAAGGGTCGCCAAGGGGGTGGGAAATGCCACCAAGGGTCACCCAAGGGTCACCAAGGGGGCGGGACATGTCACCCAAGGTCAGGAAATGCCACCAAGGGTCACCTCGGGGGTGGGAAATGCCACCATGGGTCACCCCAGGGGCAGGAAATGCCACCAAGGGTCACCAAGGGGGCAGGAAATGTCACCCGAGGTCTGGAAATGTCACCCCAGGGCCACCAAATGTCACCCAAGGTCACAAAACGTCACGTCAGGGTCACTCAAAGTCACCTTAGGGCCACCAAATGTCACCCAGTAATGAAATGTCACCCCAGGGCTCCAAGTGTCATGTTAGGGTCACCAGATGTCACCTTGGGTCATCAAATGTCGCCTCAGGTCACCCAAGGTCAGCAAATGTCACCCAGGGCCACCAAACATCACGGCGGGGTCACCAAATATCACCTTGGGGTCATCAAAGGTCACCTTAGGGCCACCAAACATCACCTCAGGTCAACCAAGGTCAGCAAATGTCACGTCGGGGTCACCCAATGTCACCTCAGGTCAGGAAATGTCACCCAGGGCCACCAAATGTCACCCCAGGTCATGAAACATCACGTCGGGGTCACCATAGGTCACCTTGGGGTCACCAAATGCCACCCCAGGTCTGGGGACACACACACAGAGGCCACCAAGGGTCACCTTGGGGGCAGGAAATGCCACCAAGGGTCACCAAGGGGGTGGGAAATGTCACCCAAGGTCAGGAAATGTCACCCCAGGGCCACCAAATGTCACCCAAGGTCATGAAACATCACGTCGGGGTCACCAAGTGTCACCTCGGATCAGGAAATGTCACCTTGGGGTCACCCAATGTCACCCAAGGTCATTTTGGGGACACCTCGAGGTCACCCAGGGTCACCTCAGGGCCACCAAATGTCACCCAAGGTCAGGCAATGTCACCCCAGGGCCACCAAATGTGACCCAGGCACTCCAAAGTCACGTCGGGGTCACCAAACGTCACCAGGGTCACCAAATGTCACCCAGGGCCACCTCAGTGTCACCGAATTCTCAGGTTTTCACCCCAGAACCCCCAAAATTTCCATTTCCCACCCCAAAAATTGCCATTTTTTACCCCAAAATCTCAAATTTTTCAACCCAAAAATCTCAGTTCTTCCACCCCCAAAATCCCCATTTTTCCCCCTAAAATCCCCATTTTTTGACCAAAAATCACCATTTTTCCCCCTAAAATCCCCATTTTTTGACCAAAAAATCACCATTTTTTTCCCAAAAAGCCCCAAAATCGCCGTTTTTGGCCCCAAACCTTTGAGCAGCTGCTGGGTGACGTTGAAGGCGCTCTCCAGGCTCTGGGGCTGCTCCAGGTCGGGGCAGTCGTCGCCCACCTGGGCAAACACCTGGGCAAGGGCGGAGCCTCCCAGGCGGTGCCGCCCCGGGTTCAGCTGCACCCACAGCAGGGCCCCTGAAACAGCCCAAAATCAGCCCAAAATCAGCCCAAAATCAGCCCAAAATCAGCCCAAAATCAGCCCCAGAATCACCAGAAATTGGGGGGAAATCGGGGGAAAATTGACCCAAAAATGGGGGAAATTCGAGCCAAAAATGGAGCCAAAAATGGGGAAAATTGACCCAAAAATGGGGGAAATCCACCCATAAATGGAGCCAAAAATGGGAGAAATTTCAGCCAAAAATGGGGAAAATTGACCTAAAAATGTGGGAAATCCACTCAAAAACAGACCCAAAAATGGGAGAAATTTCAGCCAAAAATGGAGCCAAAAATGGGGAAAATTGACCTAAAAATGTTGCAAATCCACCCAAAAATTGAGCCAAAAATGGACCCAAAATGGGGGAAATCTGAGCCAAAAATGGGCCCAAAAATGGGGAAAATTGACCTAAAAATGTGGGAAATCCACCCAAAAACGGAGCCAAAAATGGGGAAAATCCAAGCAAAACTGGGGAATCTACCCAAAAATGGCGCCAAAAATGGGGAAAATTGACCTAAAAATGGGGGAAATTCAATCCAAAAATGGAGCCAAAAATGGGGAAAATTGACCCAAAAATGGGGGAAATCCACCCATAAATGGAGCCAAAAATGGGGAAAATTGACCTAAAAATGGGGGAAATCCACCCAAAAATGGAGTCAAAAATGGAGCCAAAAATGGGGGAAATTCGAGCCAAAAACGGAGCCAAAAATGGGGAAAATTGACCTAAAAATGGGGGAAATCCACCCAAGAACAGACCCAAAAATGGGAGAAATTTCAGCCAAAAATGGAGCCAAAAATGGGGAAAATTGACCTGAAAATGTGGGAAATCCACCCATAAATGGAGCCAAAAATGGGGAAAATCCAAGCAAAACTGGGGGAATCTACCCAAAAATGGACCCAAAAATGGGGAAAATTGACCCAAAAATGTGGGAAATCCACCCATAAATGGAGCCAAAAATGGAGCCAAAAATGGGGAAATTCAACCTAAAAATGGACCTAAAAATGGACCCAAAAATGGGGAAATTCAACCTAAAAATGGACCTAAAAATAGACCCAAAAATGGGGAAATTCAACCTAAAAATGGGCCCTAAAATGGACCCAAAAATGGAGAAATTGGACCTAAAAGTGGACCTAAAAATGGACCCAAAATTGGGGAAATTCGACCTAAAAATGGACCCAAAAATGGACACAAAATTGGGGAAATTCAACATAAAAATTGACCTAAAAAATGGGGAAAATCGACCTAAAAAGGACCTAAAAATGGACCCAAAAATGGGGAAATTCGACTTAAAAATGGGCCTAAAAATGGACCCAAAAATTGGGAAATTCAACCTAAAAATGGGCCCTAAAATTGACCCAAAAATGGGGAAATTCGAGCCAAAAATGGACCCAAAAATGGGGAAATTCAACCTAAAAATTGACCTAAAAATGGACCCAAAAATGGGGAAATTTGACTTAAAAATGGACCCAAAAATGGGGAAATTCAACCTAAAAATGGGCCTAAAAATGGACCCAAAAATGGGGAAATTGTACCTAAAAATGGACCCAAAAATGGGGAAAATCCACCCAAAAATGGCCTCAATAGAGCTGGGAAAAACTGGAACCAAAAGGGACAAAAATGGCCCCAAATGGCCCCAAAAGTGTCCCCAGGTGTGTCCTCAATGTCCCCAGTATCCCCTGCTGTGTCCCCAGGTGTGTCCCAGGTGTGTCCCCAATGTCCCCAGGTGTGTCCCAGGTGTGTCCCCAGGTGTGTCCCCAGGTGTGTCCCAGGTGTGTCCCCCAGGTGTGTCCCCAGGTGTGTCCCCAATGTCCCCAGGTGTGTCCCAGGTGTGTCCCCAATGTCCCAGCTGTGTCCCAGCTGTGTCCCAGGTGTCCCCAGGTGTGTCCCAGCTGTCCCCAATGTCCCCAGCTGTCCCCAGGTGTGTCCCAGCTGTCCCCAGCTGTCCCCAGGTGTGTCCCAGGTGTCCCCAGGTGTGTCCCAGGTGTGTCCCCAGGTGTGTCCCGGGTGTGTCCCCAATGTCCCCAGGTGTCCCCAGGTGTGTCCCCAATGTCCCCAGGTGTGTCCCAGGTGTCCCCAGCTGTCCCCAGGTGTGTCCCAGGTGTGTCCCGGGTGTGTCCCCAATGTCCCCAGCTGTGTCCCAGCTGTGTCCCAGCTGTGTCCCAGCTGTCCCCAGCTGTATCCCAGGTGTGTCCCAGGTGTGTCCCCAGGTGTGTCCCCAGGTGTGTCCCCAATGTCCCCAGGTGTGTCCCCAGGTGTGTCCCAGGTGTGTCCCAGCTGTGTCCCCAGCTGTCCCCAATGTCCCCAGCTGTCCCCAGGTGTCCCCAGCTGTCCCCAGGTGTGTCCCCAGGTGTGTCCCAGCTGTCCCCAGGTGTGTCCCCAGTGTCCCCAGCTGTCCCCAGGTGTGTCCCCAGGTGTGTCCCAGGTGTGTCCCCAATGTCCCAGGTGTGTCCCCAGTGTCCCCAATGTCCCCAGGTGTGTCCCCAGGTGTGTCCCTCACCTCTGTCGTTGGGACACTTGAGGTCGGGGGTGACGGTGGCGGTGACATCGGGGCACACGGCGTAGGCCGAGATCACCAGGGCACCTGGGGGTCACCTCGGGGTCACCTGGGTGTCCCCAGTGTCCCCATTGTCCCCAGTGTCCCAAATCCCCCAATCCCCCATTGTCCCAAATGTCCCCAATGTCCCCCGGGTTCCCAATGTCCCCAATTCCCCCCCAGTGCCCCCAGTGTCCCCAATCCCCCCCAATGTCCCCAATGTCCCCAGTCCCCACAATGCCCCCAATGTCCCCATTGTCCCCAATGTCCCCAATCCCCCAATGTCCCCAATGTCCCCAGTCCCCCACAATGCCCCCCAATCCCCCCAATGTCTCCCGACTTCGCAATGTCCCCAATGTCCTCCCAATGTCCCCAATGTCCCCAACCCGCCCAATGTCCCCAAATCCCCTCAATGTCCCCCTGGTTCCCAATGTCCCCAGTCCCCTGAAATGTCCCCAACCCGCCCAATGTCCTCAACCCACCCAATGTCCCCATTGTCCCCCTGGTCCCCAATGCCCCCAGTCCCCACCCAGTGTCCCCACTGCCCCCAGTGCCCCCCAATGTCCCCAGTGTCCCCCTGGTTCCCAATGCCCCCAATCCCCCCAATGTCCCCAATGTCTCCATTGTCCCCAAATCCCCCCAATGTCCCCAATCCCCCCCAATGTCCCCAATCCCCCCAATGCCCCCAGTGTCCACAATGTCCCCAACCCGCCCAATGTCCCCCTGGTCCCCAATGCCCCCCCAAATGTCCCCAAATCCCCCCAATGTCCCCCCAAATCCCCCCATTGGCCCCAATCCCCACAATGTCCCCATTGTCCCCAATGTCCCTATTGTCGCCCCAGTTCCCAATGTCCCCAATCCCCCTCAATGTCCCCAAATCCCCCAATGTCCCCCTGGTTCCCAATGTCCCCAGTGTCCCCAATCCCCGCCAATGTCCCCAACACCCCAATGTCCCCCTGGTTCCCAATGTGCCCCAGTGTCCCCAATGCCCCCAGTCCCCCACAGTGTCCCCATTGTCCCCAATCCCCCCATTGTCCCCAAATGTCCCCAATCCCCACAATGTCCCCAACCCCCCCAGTGTCCCCAATGTCCCCCCAGTTCCCAGTCCCCCTCGATGTCCCCAATCCCCCCATCGTCCCCCCAGTGCCCCCAATGTCCCCAACCCGCCCAATGCCCCCAATGTCCCCAGTCCCCCGCAGTGTCCCCATTGTCCCCATTGTCCCCCCATTGTCCCCCCAGTGTCCCCACTGTCACCAGGCGCCATGACGGTGTCGCTGCCCACTCTGGCGGCCATGCTGAGCGAGTCCTTGCCGCCGTCGATGGCCACGCCCAGGCGGCGCAGGGCAGCCACCAGCGCGTCACACGCGGCCACCAGCGCCCCGCCCTCTGCCCCCAGCTTGGAGCCCCACATCCAATTGCCCGAGCACTTCACGTCCTGGGGACAGCGGGGACACGGGGGACACAGGGGACAGCGGGGACAATGGGGACATTGGGGGGGTTGGGGACATGGGGGGGAAATTGGGGGGAAATTGGGGACAGAGGGGACATTGGAGGGATTGGGGGGACATTGGGGACAGAGGGGACAATGGGGGATTGGGGGGACATTGGTGGTTGGAGACAATGGGGACAATGGGGGATTGCGGGGAAATTGGGGACATTGGGGACATTGGGAACAGAGGTGACAATGGGGGATTGGGGGCATTTGTGGACAGCGGGGACAGAGGGGGCATTGGGGACAGAGGGGGCATTGGGGGGGTTGGGGACATTGGGGACATTGGGAACAGAGGGAACATTGGAGGGATTGGGGGCATTTGGGGACAGCAGGGACAGAGGGGGCATTGGGGACAATGGGGGGACATGGGGGGGATTGGGGGAGGATTGGGGGGACATTGGGGACAATGGGGACATCGGGGGCACATCGGGGACAATGGGGACATTGGGGGGAAATTGGGGACATTGGGGACAGAGGGGACAATGGGGGGACATTGGGAACATTGGGGGGACATTGGGGACAATGGAGGAGGGGGACATTGGGGGGGTTGGGGACAGAGGGGACAATGGGGGATGGGGACATTGGGGACATTGGGGACAGAGGGGTCATTGGAGGGATTGGGGACATTGGGGGATTGGGGACATTGGGGGCACATTGGGGGCCAGAGGGGACATTGGGGGCATTGGGGACAATGGGGGGATTTGGGGACATTGCAGGGGTTGGGGACATTGGGAACGGAGGGGACAATGGGGTCATTGGGGACAATGGGGGATTTGGGACATTGGGGGACATTGGGGGGATTTGGGGGAAATTGGGGACATTTGGGAACAGAGGGGGGATTGGGGGCATTGCGGACATTGGGGGCATTTGGGGACAGTGGGGACAGGGGGGATTGGGGACAATGGGGACAATGGGGACAATGGGGGGATTGGGGGGATTTGGGGACATTGGCGGGGCATTGAGGACAATGGGGACAGAGGGGACATTGGGGGGATGTGGGGACATTGGGGACATTTGAGGACATTTGGGGACAGCGGGGACATTGGGGGCACATTGGGGACATTGGGGGCACATTGGGGACATTGGGGGGACAATGGGGGGACATAGGGGACATGCGGGGGATTGGGGACATTAGGGACAATGGGGACATTGGGGACATTGCAGGGACATTGGGGACACCCAGAGGGACACGGAGTTGTCACAGCCAAAGGGGACACAGAGAGAGACAGGGAGAGATGGGGGAGGGGACAGGTCAGTGCCACCGCCTGCCACCTCCCCCTGCTGCCACCCCCACCCCACAATGTCCCCAACCCCACAATGTCCCCAACGTCCCAAAAATGCCCCAAATCCCCTGAACCTCCCTGATGTCCCCAGGTGTCACCTTGAGGTGCGTGACCCTAGCAAACACCAGGTTGGTGATGGCCTCGGTCAGCGCCCAATGTCCCCAATGTCCCCAATGTCCCAAACACCCCCAAATCCCCTCAATGCCCCCAACATCCCAAATCCCTCAAACGCCCCAGTGTCCCCAGGTGTCACCTTGAGGTGCGTGACCCTGGCGAACACCAGGTTGGTGATGGCCTTGGTCAGCGCCCAATGTCCCCAATGTCCCCCAGGTGTCCCCGATGTCCCCAGGTGTCACCTTGAGGTGCGTCACTCGTGCGAACACCAGGTTGGTGATGGCCTCAGTCAGCGCCCCATGTCCCCAATGTCCCAAACCCCCCAAATGTCCCCAGTGTCCCCAATGTCCCAAATCCCCTCAATGTCCCCGATGTCCCCAGGTGTCACCTTGAGGTGCGTGACCCTGGCGAACACCAGGTTGGTGATGGCCTCGGTCAGTGCCCCATGGTCCCAATGTCCCCAGTGTCCCCAAACCCCCCAATATCCCAAACACCCCCAAATCCCCCAATGTCCCCAATGTCCCCAAGTGTCCCCAAGTGTCCCCAGTGTCACCTTGAGGTGCGTGACCCTGGCGAACACCAGGTTGGTGATGGCCTCGGTCAGCGCCAGGCGCGCGCCGGCCGCGGGGTCCAGGAGCCCCTTGATCGGCTGCTCGCCGATGGCGGTGGCGGCGCCGCTGTCCCCGAACGGGGACAGGGCCACCACGGCCACGTCGGCCAGCGGCGTGTGCAGGGGGCCCACGCACTGCTGCTGTGCCACCAGCCCCGTCACCGAGCGGTCCACCTGGGGACAGCGTGGGGGGACAGTGTGGGGACAGCGGGGGGACAGCGTGGGGACAGCCATGGGGGGGACAGTGTGGGGACAGTGTGGGGACAGCAATGGGGACAGTGGGGACAGCAGTGGGGACAGTGGGGACAGTGTGGGGACAGCAATGGGGACAGTGGGGACAGTGTGGGGGGACAGCAATGGGGACAGCAGTGGGGACAGTGTGGGGACACTGGGGGGGTTGGGGACATTGGGGACAGCAATGGGGACATTGGGGGGGGGACAGCAATGGGGACAGCAATGGGGACAGCAATTGGGGACAGCAAGGGGACAAGGGGGACAGCAAGGGGGACACTGGGGACAGTGTGGGGGGACAGCAATGGGGACATTGGGGACAGTGTGGGGACAGCGGGGACATTGGGGACAGCGGGGACAGTGCGGGGACTGGGGACATTGGGGGGTTGGGGACAGTGGGGACAGCAGTGGGGACAGTGTGGGGACAGCAATGGGGACCGTGGGGACAGTGGGGACAGTGTGGGGACTGGGGACATTGGGGACATTGGGGACAGCGATGGGGACATTGGGACATGGGGGACATGGGGACGCTGGGGACATTGGGGGGATTTGGGGGGTTGGGGACAGTGGGGGTGGCACAGGTGGCAGGTGCCACAGGTGACACTGATCCGATGCTGAGGTGACACAGAGCTCACACAGGTGACACAGACAGGTGACACAGGTGACAATGAGGTGACACAGGGGTGACAATGAGGTGACACAGGTGACAAGGACTCACCTTGTTGGTCAGGTACCTCTTGCTGGCCGGGGTTTGGGTAGGGTTGGACTCACACAGGTGTGACAGGGGTGACACAGGGGTGACAATGAGGTGACACAGGTGACACAGGTGACACAGGTGACACAGACAGGTGACACAGGTGACAATGAGGTGACAATGAGGTGACACAGGTGACACAGACAGGTGACACAGGTGACAAGGACAGGTGTCACTCACCTTGTTGGTCAGGTACCTCTTGCCGGCCACGGCCAGGTTTGGGTAGGGTTGGGCTCACACAGGTGTGACAGGGGTGACACAGGTGACACAGGTGTGACACAGGGGTATCACAGGTGACAATGAGGTGACACACAGGTGACAATGAGGTGACACACAGGTGACAAGGACAGGTGTGTCACTCACCTTGTTGGTCAGGTACCTCTTGCTGGCCACGGCCGGGGTTTGGGTAGGGTTGGACTCACACAGGTGACACAGGGGTGACACAGGGGTGACACAGGTGTGACAATGAGGTGACACAGGTGACACAGGTGACACAGGTGTGACAATGAGGTGACACAGGTGACACAGGTGACAAGGACAGGTGACAAGGACTCACCTTGTTGGTCAGGTACCTCTTGCTGGCCACGGCCGGGGTTTGGGGTGGGGTTGGTGTGACACAGGTGTGACACAGGTGACACAGGGGTATCACAGGGGTGACAATGAGGTGACACAGGTGACACAGGTGACAAGGACAGGTGACACTCACCTTGTTGGTCAGGTACCTCTTGCTGGCCACGGCCGGGGTTTGGGTGGGGTTGGGCTCACACAGGTGTGACACAGGTGTGACACAGGGGTGACACGGACAGGTGACACAGGTGTATCACAGGTGACACAGGGGTGACACAGGTGACACAGGTGACACAGACGACACAGGTGACACAGGTGACACACAGGTGACAAGGACAGGTGTGTCACTCACCTTGTTGGTCAGGTACCTCTTGCTGGCCACGGCCGGGGTTTGGGGTGGGGCTCACACAGGTGACACAGGTGACACTCAGGTGACACAGACAGGTGACACAGACAGGTGACACAGGTGACAATGAGGTGACACAGGTGACACAGACAGGTGACACAGGTGACAATGAGGTGACACAGGTGACACAGGTGTGACACTCACCTTGTTGGTCAGGTACCTCTTGCTGGCCACGGCCGGGGTTTGGGTAGAGTTGGACTCACACAGGTGACACAGGGGTGACAATGAGGTGACACAGGTGACACAGGTGACACAGGGGTGACACAGGTGACAATGAGGTGACACAGGTGACACACACAGGTGTGTCACTCACCTTGTTGGTCAGGTACCTCTTGCTGGCCACGGCCGGGGTTTGGGGTTGGGCTCACACAGGTGACACAGGTGTGACACAGGGGTATCACAGGTGACACAGGGGTATCACAGGTGACACAGGGGTGACAATGAGGTGACACAGGTGACACAGGTGACAATGAGGTGACACAGGTGACACAGGTGACAATGAGGTGACACAGGTGACACAGGTGACAAGGACAGGTGTGTCACTCACCTTGTTGGTCAGGTACCTCTTGCTGGCCACGGCCGGGGTTTGGGTGGGGTTGGGCTCACACAGGTGACACAGGGATGACACAGGGGTGACACAGGTGACACACAGGTGACAATGAGGTGACACAGGTGTCACTCACCTTGTTGGTCAGGTACCTCTTGCTGGCCACGGCCGGGGTTTGGGGTGGGGTTGGTGTAACACAGGTGTGACAAGGGTGACACAGGTGTATCACAGGTGACACAGGGGTGACACACAGGTGACAATGAGGTGACAATGAGGTGACACGGACAGGTGTCACTCACCTTGTTGGTCAGGTACCTCTTGCTGGCCACGGCCGAGGTTTGGGTGGGGTTGGTGTAACACAGGTGACACAGACAGGTGACACAGGTGTGACACAGGTGACACAGGTGTGACACAGGTGACACAGGTGACACAGGTGACAATGAGGTGACACAGGGGTGACACAGGTGACAATGAGGTGACAATGCGGTGACAAGGAAGGTGTGTCACTCACCTTGTTGGTCAGGTACCTCTTGCTGCCCGGGTTTTGGGGTGGGGTTGGTGTAACACAGGTGACAGAGGTGACACAGATGGGTGACACAGGTGTGACAATGAGGTGACACAGGTGACACACAGGTGACAAGGACAGGTGTGTCACTCACCTTGTTGGTCAGGTACCTCTTGCTGGCCACGGCCGGGGTTTGGGGTTGGGCTCACACAGGTGACACAGGGGTGACAATGAGGTGACACAGGTGACACAGGGGTACCACAGGTGACAATGAGGTGACACAGGTGACACAGGTGACACAGGTGTGACAATGAGGTGACACAGGTGACACAGGTGACACAGACAGGTGACAATGAGGTGACACAGGTGACAAGGACAGGTGTCACTCACCTTGTTGGTCAGGTACCTCTTGCCGGCCACGGCCAGGTTTGGGTAGGGTTGGGCTCACACAGGTGTGACAGGGATGGCACAGGGGTATCACAGGTGACACAGGGGTATCACAGGTGACACAGACAGGTGACAATGAGGTGACAATAAGGTGACACACAGGTGTGTCACTCACCTTGTTGGTCAGGTACCTCTTGCCGGCCACGGCCAGGTTTGGGTAGGGTTGGGCTCACACAGGTGTGACAGGGATGACACAGGGGTATCACAGGTGACACAGAGGTGACACAGGTGTATCACAGGTGACACAGGGGTGACAATGAGGTGACAATGAGGTGACAATGAGGTGACAAGGACAGGTGACACTCACCTTGTTGGTCAGGTACCTCTTGCTGGCCACGGCCGGGGTTTGGGGTGGGGTTGGTGTAACACAGGTGTGACACAGGTGACACAGAGGTGACACAGGTGTATCACAGGTGACACGGACAGGTGACACAGGTGACAATGAGGTGACACAGGTGACACACAGGTGTGTCACTCACCTTGTTGGTCAGGTACCTCTTGCTGGCCACGGCCGGGGTTTGGGGTTGGGCTCACACAGGTGACACAGGGGTACCACAGGTGACACAGGTGACACAGACAGGTGACACAGGTGACACAGGGGTGACAATGAGGTGACACAGGTGACAATGAGGTGACACCACAGGTGACACACAGGTGACACGGACAGGTGACACTCACCTTGTTGGTCAGGTACCTCTTGCTGGCCACGGCCGGCAGCCTCAGGACCCTCTCGAGGGCGGCTCTGACCGAGAGCCCCGGGGGGAGGCTCAGGGGGCGCCGGGGCAGCCGAGCCCGGGACAGGTGGAACTCCTGGGGGGACCCCAAAAATCACCGGGGGGACCCCGAAAATTGGGGGGGGAAAAGGGGAAATTTGGGGTACGTAAAAAAAATTGGGGTAAAAAATTTGGGGGTTCAAATTTTTGGGGGTTGGAGATGCCAGAGATTGGAGAGGACCCCAAAAATCATCAGGGGACCCCAAAAACCATCAGGGACACCCCGAAAACCATCGGGGACACCCCGAAAACCATCGGGGGGACCCCAAAAATACCGGGGGGACCCCAAAAACCATCAGGGACACACCGAAAAACCATCAGGGACAACCCCAAAAATCACCGGGGGGACCCCAAAAACCATCAGGGGGACCCAAAAACCATCGGGGACACCCCAAAAATTGGGGGGAAAAAGGGGAAATTTGGGGTACATGAAATAAAAAAAAATTGGGGTAAAAAATTTGGGTTAAAAAAATTTGGGGGTTCAAATTTTTGGGGGTTCAAATTTGGGTCGGTTCAGTTTTTGGGGGTTGGAGATGCTGGAGATTGGAGGGGACCCCAAAAACCATCAGGGGGACCCCAAAAACTGGGGGGAAAAAGGGGAAATTTGGGGTACATCAAATAAAAAATTTGGGGTAAAAAATTTGGGGGTTCAAATTTTTGGGGGTTGGAGATGCCAGAGATTGGAGAGGACCCCAAAAATCATCAGGGGACCCCAAAAATTACCAGGGACTCCAAAAACCATCGGGGACACCCCAAAAATCACCGGGGACACCCCAAAAATTAGGGGGAAAAGGGGAAATTTGGGGTACATGAAATAAAAAAAATTGGGGTAAAAAATTTGCGTTAAAAAAATTTGGGGGTTCAAATTTTTGGGGTCCCATTTTGGACTCTTCTCCCCCAAATTTCGGGTCAATTTTTGGGGTCCCTGATCATCTTTTGGGGTCCCTTTTTTTGGAGTTTTTCCCCATTTTTGGGGTCCCATTTTGGGGCATCGCCCCCAAATTTCGGGTCAGTTTTTGGGGTCCCTTTTTTTGGGCTGTTCCCCCCAAATTTTGGGTCAGTTTTTGGGGTTCCTGATCATCTTTTGGTGCCATTTTTTTGAGTTTTTCCCCCAGATTTTGGGGCCATTTTTGGGGTCCCATTCTGGACTCTTCCCCCCCAATTTTGGGTCAGTTTTTGGGGTCCCTTTTTTGGAGTTTTTCCCCCATTTTTGGGGTCCCATTTTGGGGCATCGCCCTCAAATTTTGGGTCGGTTTTTGGGGTCCCTTTTTTGGGCTGTTCCCCCCAAATTTCGGGTCAGTTTTTGGGGTCCCTGATCATCTTTTGGTGCCATTTTTTGGAATTTTTCCCCCATTTTGGGGGCCATTTTTGGGGTCCCATTTTGGGGCTTTACCCCCAGATTTTGGGGCCATTTTTGGGGTCCCATTCTGGACTCTTCCCCCCAAATTTCGGGTCAGTTTTTGGGGTGTTCCCCCCAAATTTTGGGTCAGTTTTTGGGGTCCCTGATCATCTTTTGGGGTCCCTTTTTTGGAGTTTTTCCCCATTTTTGGGGTCCCATTTTGGGGCATCGCCCCCAAATTTCAGGTCAGTTTTTGGGGTCCCATTCTGGACTCATCCCCCCCCCAATTTTGGGTCAGTTTTTGGGGTCCCTTTTTTGGAGTTTTTCCCCATTTTTGGGGTCCCATTTTGGGGCATTGCCCCCAAATTTCGGGTCAGTTTTTGGGGTCCCTTTTTTGGGCTGTTCCCCCCAAATTTCGGGTCAGTTTTTGGGGTCCCTTTTTTGGGCTCTTCCCCCCCCAAATTTCGGGTCAATTTTTGGGGTCCCTGATCATCTTTTGGGGTCCCATTTTTGGAGTTTTTCCCCCATTTTTGGGGTCCCATTTTGGGGCATCCCCCCCAAATTTCGGGTTGGTTTTTGGGGTCCCTTTTTTGGGCTGTTCCCCCCAAATTTCGGGTCAGTTTTTGGGATCCCTGATCATCTTTTGGGGTCCCTTTTTTGGAGTTTTTTCCCCAGTTTTGGGGTCCCATTTTGGGGCGTCGCCCTCAAATTTTGGGTCGGTTTTTGGGGTCCCATTCTGGACTCTTCCCCCCCAAATTTTGGGTCAGTTTTTGGGGTCCCTGATCATCTTTTGGGGTCCCTTTTTTTGGAGTTTTCCCCCCAGTTTCGGGGCTATTTTTGGGGTCCCATTTTGGGGCTTTCCCCCAGATTTTGGGGCCATTTTTGGGGTCCCATTCTGGACTCTCCCCCCCAATTTTGGGTCAGTTTTTGGGGTCCCTTTTTTGGGGTGTTCCCCCAGTTTTAGGGTCCCATTTTGGGGCATCACCCTCAAATTTCGGGTCGGTTTTTGGGGTCCCATTCTGGACTCTTCCCCCCCAATTTTGGGTCGGTTTTTGGGGTCCCATTCTGGACTCTTCCCCCCCAATTTTGGGTCGGTTTTTGGGGTCCCCTCTCACCTTTTGGGGCATCTTGCCCAGCACCCACTCCAGCTCCAGGTTGACGGGGGTGGGGAGCCCCTTGTGGGACCCCCCAATTTCGGGCACCGGCGAGGCCAGGTCATCGACCAGCACGATCTGGGATGGACACCCCAAAAATCAACCCCAAAATCAGCCCAAAAAACAGCCCAAAAATATCCCCAAAATGACCCCAGAAATCCCCCAAAAAAGCAGCAAAAATTTCCCAGAAAACCAACCCCAAAAATTGCCCCAAAACATCAAAAACAGCCCAAAAAACCCCACAAAGATCAACCCCAAATACACCCCAAAAATGACCCCAAAACCCAAAAAAAGTCACAAAAATTATCTCGAAAATCAACCCCAAAATCGACCCCAAAATACCCCCAAAATCCCCAGAAATCCCCCAAAAAAGCAGCAAAAATTTCCCTGAGAAAGAACCCCGAAAATCACCCCCAAACCCCAAAAATTACCCCAAGAAGACCCACAAAAATTGCCACAAAAATTAACCCCAAAAATGACCCCAAAATCCCAAAAATGCCCACAAAAATTAACTCGAAAATCAACCCCAAAACCACCGCAAAAATGACCCCAAAATCCACAAAACAACCCCAAAAAAGCAGAAAAAATTTCCCCAAAAATTGCCCCAAAACACCAAAAACACCCCAAAACTGCCCACAAAAATCAACCACGAATACACCCCAAAAATGACCCCAAAAATCCCCAAAATCCCAAAAATGCCCACAAAAATTAACCCCAAAATCGACCCCAAAACCACCCCAAAAATATCCCCAAAATCCCCAGAAATTCCCCAAAATAGCAGCAAAAATTTCCCCGAGAAACAACCCCCAAAATTGCCCCAAAACATCAAAAACAACCCAAAAACACCCATAAAATTGCAACAGAAATTAACCCCAAATAGACCCCAAAAATGACCCCAAAATCCTAAAAATGCCCACAAAAATTAACTGAAAAATCAACCCAAAACCACCCCAAAAATGACCCCAAAACTCCCCAAAAAACACACAAAAATGCCCACAAAAATTAACCCCAAAATCAACACCAAAACCACCTCAAAAATATCCCCAAAATCCCCAGAAATCCCCCAAAAAAAGCAGCAAAAATTTCCCCAAAAATTGCCCCAAAACACCAAAAACAGCCCAAAAACACCCGCAAAAATCAACCCCGAATACACCCCAAAAATGACCCCAAAAATCCCCAAAACACCCAAAAATGCCCACAAAAATTAACTGAAAAATCACCCCAAAACCACCCCAAAATCACCCCAAAAACACCCCCAAAATCCCCAGAAATCCCCCAAAACAGCAGCAAAAATTTCCCCGAGAAACAACCCCGAAAATTGCCCCAAAACATCAAAAACAACCCAAAAACACCCATAAAATTCAAACAGAAATTAACCCCAAAATGACCCCAAAAATGACCCCAAAACCACCCCAAAATCCTAAAAATGCCCACAAAAATTATCTCGAAAATCAACCCCAAAACCACCCCAAAAATGACCCCCACAATCCCCAGAAATCCCCCAAAACAGCAGCAAAAATTTCCCCGAAAATTGCCCCAAAACACCAAAAACAGCCCAAAAACACCCACAAAGATCAACCCCAAATACACCCCAAAAATGACCCCAAAATCCTAAAAATGCCCACAAAAATTAACTGAAAAATCAACCCCAAAACCACCCCAAAAATGACCCCAAAAATCCCCAAAAACCAAAAAAATGCCCACAAAAATTAACCCCAAAACCACCCCAAAAATATCCCCAAAATCCCCAGAAATCCCCCAAAACAGCAGCAAAAATTTCCCCAAAAATTGCCCCAAAACACCAAAAACAGCCCAAAAACACCTGCAAAAATCAACCCCAAATCCACCCCAAAAACGACCCCAAAAATCCCCAAAACCACCCAAAAATGCCCACAAAAATTAACTGAAAAATCAACCCCAAAAATATCCCCAAAATCCCCAGAAATCCCCCAAAACAGCAGCAAAAATTTCCCCGAAAAGCAACCCAAAAATTGCCCCAAAACACCAAAAACAGCCCAAAAAAACCCACAAAAATCTAACCCCAAATACACCCCAAAAACGACCCCAAAATCCCAAAAATGCCCACAAAAATTAACACAAAAATCAACCCCAAAACCACCCCAAAAACCACCCCCAAAATCCCCAGAAATCTCCAAAAAAGCAGCAAAAATATCCCAGAAAACCAACCCTGAAAATTGCCCCAAAACACCAAAAAAAAGCCCAAAAACACCCACAAAAATCAACCCCAAATACACCCCAAAAACGACCCCAAAAATCCCCAAAACCACCCAAAAATGCCCACAAAAATTAACTGAAAAATTACCCCCAAAACCACCCCAAAAATGACCCCAAAACTGCCCCAAAATCCCAAAAATGCCCACAAAAATTAACCCCAAAATCGACCCCAAAACCACCTCAAAAATATCCCCAAAATCCCCAGAAATCCCCCAAAACAGCAGCAAAAATTTCCCCGAAAATTGCCCCAAAACACCAAAAACAGCCCAAAACTGCCCACAAAAATCAACCCCAAATACACCCCAAAAACGACCCCAAAATCCTAAAAATGCCCACAAAAATTGTCTCAAAAATCAACCCCAAAACCACCCCAGAAATACCCAAAACTGCCCCAAAATCCCAAAAATGCCCACAAAAATTAACCCCAAAATCGACCCCAAAACCACCTCAAAAATATCCCCAAAATCCCCAGAAATCCCCCAAAACAGCAGCAAAAATTTCCCCGAAAATTACCCCAAAACACCAAAAACAGCCCAAAAACACCTGCAAAAATCAACCCCAAAACCACCCCAAAAATACCCCAAAAATCCCCAAAACACCCAAAAATGCCCACAAAAATTAACTGAAAAATCACCCCAAAACCACCCCAAAAACAGCCCAAAAATATCCCCAAAATCCCCAGAAATCCCCCAAAACAGCAGCAAAAATTTCTCTGAGAAACAACCCCGAAAATTGCCCCAAAACACCAAAAACAGTCCAAAAAAATTACCACAAAATTACCACAAAAATCAACCCCAAATACACCCCAAAAATAACCCCAAAACCCAAAAAAAGTCACAAAAATTATCTCGAAAATCAACCCCAAAACCACCCCAAAAATATCCCCAAAATCCCCAGAAATCCCCCAAAAAAGCAGCAAAAATTTCCCCGAGAAACAACCCCGAAAAATCGCCCCAAAACATCAAAAACAACCCAAAAACACCTGCAAAAATTGCAACAGAAATTAACCCCAAATAGACCCCAAAAATGACCCCAAAAATCCTAAAAATGCCCACAAAAATTAACCCCAAAATCAACCCCAAAACCACCTCAAAAATATCCCCAAAATCCCCAGAAATCCCCCAAAACAGCAGCAAAAATTTCCCCGAAAATTGCCCCAAAACACCAAAAACAGCCCAAAAACACCTGCAAAAATCAACCCCAAAACCACCCCAAAAACGACCCCAAAACCGCCCCAAAATCCCAAAAATGCCCACAAAAATTAACCCCAAAATCGACCCCAAAACCACCCCAAAAATATCCCCAAAATCCCCAGAAATTCCCCAAAATAGCAGCAAAAATTTCCCCGAGAAACAACCCCGAAAATTGCCCCAAAACACCAAAAAAAGCCCAAAAACACCTGCAAAAATTGCAACAGAAATTAACCCCAAATAGACCCCAAAAATGACCCCAAAAATGACCCCAAAATCCTAAAAATGCCCACAAAAATTATCTCGAAAATCAACCCCAAAACCACCCCAAAAATATTCCCCAAAATCCACAAAACCACCCCAAAAAAGCAGAAAAAATTTCCCCAAAAATTGCCCCAAAACACCAAAAACAGCCCAAAACTGCCCACAAAAATCAACCCCAAATACACCCCAAAAACGACCCCAAAATCCTAAAAATGCCCACAGAAATTAACACAAAAATCAACCCCAAAACCACCCCAAAACCACCCCAAAAATCACCAGAAATCCCCCAAAACAGCAGCAAAAATTTCCCCAAAAATTGCCCCAAAACACCAAAAAAAGCCCAAAAACACCTGCAAAAATTGCAACAGAAATTAACCCCAAATAGACCCCAAAAATGACCCCAAAAATGACCCCAAAAATGACCCCAAAATCCTAAAATGCCCACAAAAATTAACTGAAAAATCAACCCCAAAACCACCGCAAAAATGACCCCAAAATCCACAAAACCACCCCAAAAAAGCAGCAAAAATTGCCCCAAA